CTTGATATTTTTTGAGTGGCTTTCAACTGCTCAAAATGCAAACCAGCACTGCTTATCGCACAACCGACACGTGCTCGACATAGTGATTATATGAGCGAACCACGTGACCTGTGTAAGCAACGGACGTGCAGTCGCACGGAGGAAAAGGGCAACAAATTTCGAGTTTATCCTATTGTGCAAATCGATGTCGAAGCAGCAGACTACGATTAACCAAGTTATCGTATTTGAAGCAATAAGCAGGAGCAAGGTATGGCGAGTAGATCTATCACTCGCGTAAGAGCAGCTGGCTGGAAAGGTTTCGGATCGGACTGCGTTTCAGTTCTATCAAATCACGATTTATCTTCCGAGAATGCGGTTTTAACTTCTAACGATGAAGTACTAAAAGGAATCTCTCGCTCATTTGTTTTCAACTGGCTGACGTCTGGATCCCCGTCCGCAGAGCCTCGGGCAATCTGACGCTTAACGACTCGACCTCACCTCAGCCGACTTGCTTAACATGGTCGAAGAATAACAATCCAGTCGCAGGTGGTGTAGCGCTTAGAATCCAAGTTTTTTCGCGCGCTTCCAACTCGGGATGCACAGGGAGAATAAGCAGAACAAAGGATTGCAAGGCTGACCAGGCTAAACGCATTCATTGTTGCCAATCGAGTCAATAAAACCGAAACCAAGACAAAATAAAAAGTTTTTTGGCTAAGTAAACAGGATAACTGGGCGAGTTGGTATGGATTCATAATGGAACAGCGCAAATTTTTTCAAGGACAGAGGAAGGAACTGGACAGCACGAGCGCTGTTATTAGTCAGCGCTCGTCCTGTCCAGTTCCTTCCTCTGTCCTTGCAAAAATTTGCACTGGTCCATTATGAAGTTTTTTTGGTGCACGTTTTGCGATCTGGCGCATAATGGCACGAGGTATTGGCTGTGGCACAGTTTATGCAACATGGCGCAGGATGGCGCCGACACATACGTCTGGCGCAAAATGGTGCAAATCGCGCAGCTGTTCCACCCCTGGAATACGAAAACATGCTTGTCGTTCCTCCGCTCCCTTGTTTCGTCGGCGGCGTATTTGCGTCGGCCGAGCGAGCGCTTTCCCAGCTCTCCTCGCCGCTCTGACCCTGGATGCTTTGTGTTACTGGCGCACTCACGGTGTGGACACGCAGCGCCATGGGGTGGCAGTCGTTGAAACTGACGCGGAGCAACCAATGGGAGCCTCGTTTACTGAAACTATGACATGCACCTGTCAATGGGACCGAAGCCGAAATCCATGAGCTTCACTCCTTTGGGATCGGGGAAACTAGGTGCCGTTTGGCTAGCGCGTGGTTTCAAAGCTGGGAGCTGGCATGACTTGGAGAAAGGAGTTTAGGTGCCGTTTGGCACGGCTTCAAAGCTGATGACGTCGGCTCGCTCCATGGGACAGTGAATGCTTTCGTATTAAAAACAAAATATACATTCTCCGCTAACGGAAGCAAAAAAGTGCATCGTCTGCAACGAACCGAGTGCCACAGAGGAGTTACATCAGATGCGGCCTGAAGTTGAAATTGGGCGTTAATTTTACGACAGAAGAGATTGACGAATCGACGTTCCTCGAGCCAGCGGATGCGAGAGTACTGGGCACGGGTCGCGAGAACTCTCCTGTCGACGACGCGCAATTGGCAGAAAGCCGCAGCGCCACGCGCAATCGGCGGCCGAGCAACCTCTCAATCTCTTCTCGACCAAAACTGAACCCCTCTTCATGCGACTTCGACCGGTGCGTTTGGCATTCCGTGCCGACCGTGCATTGCAGGCGGTTCCATCGTGGCAACAAAGCGCATCGCGGGAGCCGACGCGCCGAGGCGTCGGATGCCGCCGTCTCGGCGGTTGGTCGTCCAAGTTCTGGCAAGAAAGAGGAGCGAACGGGCGAGTCGCCGCTATCGTGGCGTCCCGACTCCCAGCTCCACTGCCACGTCCCTGACAGGATTAGGGTGGGCGACGGCGCAACACGAGTGCGACGTCCTCGGGCAAAAATCTAGGTACCACAAACGACAACGCGATGGTCGGAGAGACGTCTTGGGTACCGCAGTCCCGTCGGTGATTGGTGGCACAGAATCTGGAAAGCGTTTCTAGCCGGCGCGTCCTTGTTTCTGACAGTGGCATGGCAGAGGAGGTGAATGCGGTAGATGCCGTGGTTTGCTTGGGCGTGAGGGTCCACGGAAGCTACGGTAGCCTCGAGTTGGGATGCAACGGCAATCCTCGCATTCGGCGGTCTTTTTTTTCAACCAGAGCCCCTTGTAGTTTTGTGATTCATTGGGAAGTACAGGAGACAAATCAGGAGGCGCCGTAGGCCGAAAGCGTGCCGGGCGTGTTCCGGGCATCTTCACAAATTCATATGTGGCCAGCCAGAAGCCGCGAATAGTAGCCTGGCGGTGGTCGCGAGAAACAAGCTGAATAAGTGCGTCGGAGGAACTCTCTGTGCCTGTGATGTTTCAATCACGGTCATCCAAGATCATGATGAAAGAGCGCAATTTGAGGCACGATCGACATAATCCGTACGCCAGGCGCCAAGGGCCGGGATTCTGCGGTCCGAGCGGTCACACACTGCCCGAGCAAAACAGAGTTCGAGCGGCACATTTGTTTCTTACATCTTTCTGCATGATCATAGTCAGAACATCACTTGCACCCTATTTTCAACCATGGAGGGCTACTACATTTAACTCTTACGGACTTATTAAAACCATACGATTAGAATTGCTGCTCACTACCACCACTACGGGATTCATTTCGGCTTCTGGTTGGTCAAGAGAGCATGTCAAGACGCCTTTCCGAGTCTGGTGCACGCCCTGGCTCTGCCCGCACCTCCCACCGACCAAACTCTCTATATATGGCTCTGTCTACAACCAACCGCGGGAGTTGCGACACTGCAGATCCCGTAACATAATTTGTTGCCACTTTGGGACTGTTTTTGAAGCATGGATGCCGGTCAAAGACAGCTTCTGGGCACCGCGCTTCCGTCGCGGTTCGTAAATGACTCCAGAAATAATTCCATCGTGTGACGAGAGGGACCACAAACCAGCACACTCTCGGTACCAGGAAGAACCAACAAAAACGTGCAAGAACTGGAGGGGTATGTCTACACAAAATACATCCGCACGCATTCGTGTCCGGATTTGCACGAACGTAAAAAAAGTGCTTTCGGTTCTGATACTAAATAAACATGTTTTGAGAACTTTGCACTGGGTGACCGCCCCTCTATTCCTCTTGCATCTATTCCAACCAGACTACACTTGTATCGTGTTGGACCTGTAAATGCCAATCTTTTTAGTACATCAAATATAAGAGTGCGCTTAAAAACCGAGATGAGAGATATGTATCAGATAACCATTACCTCCGCAACATTATTTCCGAGATGGAGCACTTATTGAAGGGTAAATGTTTTTACTGTTTTTAGAGCGCAGCTCTTAGGGGCCCGTTTCCGGCATGAGCGGCGTCGGCGTCGCCGTCTGCGTAACCGCGCGGTGCATTATGGGTAAATTTCCCCGCTAAATCTAGTGGAAACATTTCCCCGCTAAATCTAGCGGAAAAAATTCTCCGCTAAATCTAGCAAGAAAAATACCCGGCTAAATTTAGAGGAAAAAACCCGCGAAATCTGGCGGAAAAATTTCCCCGCGAAATCTAGCGGAAAAATTTTCCCGTTAAACCTAGCGGAAAAATCTCCCGCTAAATCTAGCCGAAAATTTTCCCCGCTAGATTTAGCGGAAAAAGTTCCCCGCTAAATCTAGCGGAAAATTTTCCCCGCTAAATCTAGCGGAAAAAATTCTCCGCTAAATCTAGCGGAAAAATCTAGCGGGAAAAATTCCCCGCTGGAAAAATTTCCCCACTAAATCTAGCGTAAAATATTCCCCACTAAACCTAGCGAAAAATTTTCCCGCTAAATCTAACGGAAAAATTTCCCCGCTAAATGTAGCGGAAAAATTTTCCCGCTAGATTTAGCGGAAAAATTTCCCCGCTAAATCTAGCGGAAAAATTTTTCCGCTAAATCTAGCGAGAAAACTGCCCCGCTAAATCTAGCGGAAAAAATTCCCCGCTAAATCTAGCGGAAAAATTTCCCCGCTAAATCTAGCGGGAAAACTGCCCCGCTAAATCTATGGAAAAGTTTTTCTGGGGGGTCACGTGACCCCCCAAGGTCACAGACCCCCCCCCGCATCGAGAACAGGTAACCCTCAGTACCCTTCCCTCCTCCTCCTCAAGAGCTGCGCTCCAATTCGGTGTTATAGGGAGTTGTAAACGGCTTTCATTTTTTTTTTTTTTCAAACTTCATTCACTTATTGCAACACCAAGTTTTGCTCCGAGTACGTTTGAATCTAGAATTTGAATCTATACTTTTTTGGGGGTCCCATATTTCATAAATTAAAAACTTGTGAAATGTAACATACCTGAAAAATCTGTACTAAAAGATTTCCTAATTGGCAATTACTTTAATGAATCCTTTCTAATTTTCAGTAAACAATTTACAACACTGATAAGATTTTAGAATGATCGCACTGTGCTGTTTACAGAAGTTGAGACAATCTTTGTACCATACTTTTTGATAAAATATTGTGAGGAAGTTAAGCAGACAAAGCAAAGTAGATAAAAAAAATCTAATGCATAGGGGATTGCCTTGCTTAGACATTTTGTCGAGAGCAATTAAAGTGAGCACTATTACGCAGTTACTACCATACTGTTAGAAGAGGATGGTGCACCACTCAACCCTTCCCCTCACACAGCACGGTGCAACACCATTGGCTGCGCACGCTATGACGTCAAACCAACAGCTCTGCTCCATTGCTGACACCGTCCCATGGCCTTGCTACAGACTCACTAGCAAGCAAGGCCCATGCAGAGTTCCAATTTAAGGCCATCGCTTTAAAACAATCTTGTACTATCCGTGCTTCACATCCAAAATTATAATGTGTGTGAAAATTTCCATTTGCACTCGTAAGGTAACTCATGCTCTGCTCAAACTGGAGGGACCAACACGAATCCCCACCTTGCTGGCGTTGATGATCTCCTTGATGCGGGGCACGCCCTGCGTGATGTTCATGGACGCCACGCCCGCAAAGTGGAACGTCTTGAGGGTCATCTGCGTGGCTGGCTCGCCGATGCTCTGGGCGCAAACCGCTCCCACCGCCGTCGCCGGCTCCATGACCGCCCGGAAGTACTTCTCCCGGCATGTGGCAAAAAAGCTGCGGAGCTGCGAGGCCGTCAGCCGGTCCAGCTGCCACAGCACCAGCGGCCTCGCGTCGCCGGAACCGTCCAGACCGTGCCGCGCCCGCGTGCTTGCAACCTTTGCCGCGTACCCATGCACAAACTTGGAGAGGGCCTCGCGAAAGCTCTCCCCGCAACCTTCGTACGACTTGCCGCCGAGGACCTCCTCGCCGATCCGTAGGATGGCATCCTGGTCGAGCGGCTTCTCCCCGCGGCAGGGTTTGCGAGCCCGCGTCAGCTCCATGACCCGCCCGAAGTCGACCGGCGTGTCGTCCTTGCCCTCCATGGCGGCCGGGTCTAAACCGTCCGCGCCGTAGCAGAACTGCACGATGTCCCCGCACGAGTTGCGAACCGTCATGTCGTAGTGAGAGCACAGGTCTTCGAGGGACTTGACGAGCCGTCGCTGCATGTAGCCCGTCTCCGCGGTTTTCACAGCCGTGTCCACGAGGCCCTCCCTGCCGCCCATTGTGTGGAAGAAGAACTCGGTCGGCGTGAGCCCGGAGTAGAAGCTGTCTTCGACGAACCCCCTTGCCTGCGGAGTGCGGTCGTTGCGCTCGAAGTGCGGTAGCGAACGGTCTTCGAACCCGTTCGGAACTCGGTGTCCGCTGATGGCCTGCTGCCCGACGCACGCGATCATCTGGCTGATGTTGATGAAGGAGCCCTTTGATCCGCACACCGCCATGATCAGCGGGCTGTTTGTCTTGTGGAGCTCGCGGAGGCACGCCTTTCCGGCGTGGTCGCGGACCACCGACAGTTCCTTCAAGCTGACTGCCTCCAACGTCTCCTCTTCGTTGCACCCGGGCTGCGCCTGGAGTTTCCCGCACTTCAGCTGCTGAATGTACTCTTCGCAGCGGGCGTAGCCCTCGCTGACCAGGTCATGCTTCGCCTTCAGCAGCCCAGCCCCCGGCGTCACGTCACCGATACCGATAGAGAATCCGCGGTTCTGCATGTAGAAGGATGCGATCCGCGCCAGGCGCCACATGGCGTCTGCCGCGTACTGGTCACCGTAGTCGCGGAGGAGGATGTAGAAGATGTTGTTCTTGGAGCCGGAGCCCATGGTGCCCTTGTCCATGGTCCCGCTGAGGAGCTCGCTGTTGCGGATGAGCACGTAGGCGTCGTTGGCACACATCTCTTCACCGGAGGTGTAGGACTTGCCCTTGGCACGGAGGCTGGCCAGGACCGGGCACGACCGGCTGGGGCGGATGATGAGGCTGAAGATCTGCTTGCCCGTCCAGAGGCAGACGGGCTTGCGGATGGCTGGTGGAGGGAGTTCCACCGAGATGCTGACGTCTTTGCCTGGGGTTTGTACAAGTAGACGGCCGAATGAGCACAACTAGAGGTGGCCACGGCAGGCACTACAACTGGCATAGTTATCAATGCATAAAGGTTCTGCGTACTTAACGAGCAAAAGAGAAGCGAGGGCACACGAGAGAATAACACTCCCAAAAATAAGGACTCTATTCCTGGGGTCCGATTTTGGTCACCACGAGATTCGCCTCTCATGGAGCAAGCTAAGGCAACGTTTGTAGACCTCCATAGTAACCCTGAGACATAGAAACAATAAAAAAATTGGACAGAAAGTTTTCCTATTGGTTTTTACGTCTCAGGACGGATGTCATTCACCAGCTTGCCTGCGTTTTTTACTTTCCTTCAAGTTTGTAGACCGTTCGTTTGCCAATGCAAGCGAAGAATGCGGTTCATCCATTAGCAAAGCGTCATTCGCAGGTAAAAATGAAATGAGAAAGTACCGCACGCCGTCTGCTAATCGACAGGAGAAAAGGTTGATCGTCTGCTACGAACCGAGCACCGCAATGAAGTGAGAGCAGATGCAGGCTCAAATTGTGATCATCCGCTATTTTACGTTAAAAGCCATTGACAACTTGCGCTTCTTTTGCGAATCTTTAGTTCCGCGGCCGTACTCAAGCTGGCATTGGCCAGAGGATTAAGGAGTACTACGAACAAGCGCATCAGAGGCTGCGAGACCTCTCTCGCTATTTGTATGTTGGCGAAAGATTCTCACCAAAATATTGCCCAATTGTGAGTTTGCAAACAGGTCAAAAATTTCCGATTGGTTGATTACGTACTAGCTGCGGTGACACGTCCAATTATAGCTGCCATCTTGACCAAAATTGGACCTCAGAAGTAATCAAGCTTGAGTTAGGGTTTATTGCTTCTAAAAGACTTCCACAAAACATGCATTCCATGAGGGGGCAGAAGGGAGCAGCAGACAAGAAGCCCCTGAATGCTACAGCAACATATTCAAGAAATAAAGATTTACTCCCACGTTGCAGCCTCAAAAAATGTCGCACATGACACACAAGTGCGCTTGCTTCATTCTGTGCTGTTTTCATCATGTCTTCTGTGTACCAAGATCAGCTCAGCACCTCCAGTAAATATAGGGTGTTAGTAATTCTGGGGCTCGCCATAAAACAGTGTTGCCAGATGGTGAAATTCCTCACCAGATTTTGGAAATCTTGGGGAATTCTTGAGCGTTTGGTGTCCCGACTAGTGGACCACAACACCAAACAACGTCTGGGGAAAATAGCCTGTCACCCCAAGCAACTGAAAATGCTACCGGTGCCGCATTAATGTAGCCATTGCTTAGTGGCACAAGCTGCCACTCAATTGAAATAAAGCTATAGAACCACAGATTGAGGAGGCCAGGTCAAGAAAAATAGTTTACATAAAAGCAGTTTCCCAAGGGGTAGACCTCCTGGTTCTTTGTTATTTTATCCAGACACACATGTTCTAAGTGCAAGATTTTGTTTTGTATGGCAACGAAATTTTGCAAAAAACATATTTTGTGCAGTGAACTATGTGCAAAGCTCTCTTTGGTGACATTGCAATCAGCATGAGCATTAGTCCGTTTTGTTTCACACTTGCTTCACCTCAATGAACACATTCAGAAATGTGCATGTGTACCTAAAAAAACATCATAAAATATGTGTGCTGAATACAAATGCTTAATCTGTTTAGGCGTTTTTTATGACAGCTTTATTGTCTAAATCTGGTGAAATTTCGACAAGAATTTTGTTACCGGAACAACTTCCCACTTGGCAATCGTGAAATGAGCCGTAAAAATCGGCACCAGCATGTAACGAGCTGGGACATTTACCAAAGGTGTACCTGGGTAGTGGACATTACCTTGGCAAATAGTATTGAGGCATATAACTCCGTTGCTGCAGGAGACCAAAAGCCTTACCGTGTTAAGGGGGGACACTACCCAGAAAAAACAATTTCTGCAAAAAAACATTCATTTTGAAAAATGTCATAATTACATCCACCAACACCTAGAGGGTATTCCCAGAAAGTTTCATTAGATTGTACTGCATAGTTAATTTTTTATAAATTATTTTCGGTCCACCAACGCTAAAGAAAAGGCAGAGGTTAGAGCACTTTGAATGCATTTTTCTCCATTCCACTTTCTGCCATAAATTTCACTTTAGGAAAACTATTGTTTTGTTATTACATAACGTGGATTCATTTTTATGAGTTTCTCTAGGGTGAAATTTTAAGGGGAAGATAACTATGAGCTTGTATTTTTTATTTTTGTAATTTCATGCTCAAAAACCAAAATGTTTTGACAAAGGATGGAAATCTAAAAAACTGTATTTGTGTTTATGTGACTTTTTTGTCATGAAAGATGGTATAACATAGAAAATAGCTCCATAGTTATCTGCTCTGAACTGTCCTAATGCAATATAACACATAAAAATGACAAATTTAGATGTAATTTCAAAAGGACAGTTTTCCTACGCAGGCCGGCTCACTTTCATCTTTGAACGTTTGCAGTTTTTTTTTGCACTTCACTCAGGTTAACAAAATATGGCAGAAATGTTCTCAACATCAACAAGCCTTGGAAATGACATTTAAATCAGACAAGTGGTTCAAACATTTTTTTTGGGTAGTGCCCCCCTTAAATGGCACGCATCAACACAGACAATGTAGTTGCCCGAGAGTTGTGCATGCCATCCACCGACAGGCACAGCAAGCACTCGATCGAAAGCAAACGATGTTCACCAAGTTGTTGCTGCACGTATCTGAAGACAGTAACAGTATCGGTAATATTTATTTCGGTTCGGGAGAGTCGCAGTACCACCAAAAGGCAAGTCATTCGTATCACGAAGGCCCGCGGCGGCGCATTTAACGATGTAATGAGACGGCACTACAAGGGTGGCTCTTGGGTGACCCGGTCGCGTGTGTTAGTGCGTGCCATTACAGGTATCGAGGGTTTTGTTCCAACTTACTTTTTACCGGAACGAAGCTGCACCTTGGAATGTCGCCAAATAAAATCCATTATTAAAGTACACCTTCGGTGAGAAATTGAGTTCTGCATGTGCTGTCCCCAATTTTTCCGGCTCCTTTCATGGCGAGGCCCTCGATTCCCCACAGTCCACGTCGCAAGATCTCCAACTGGGTTCCTAGAATCCTGGGAGTTCCCTCAGGGGTTCCCCAAGCTCTCCAACTTCTTCGACAGTCCCTGCCCCTAGGCAAGGTGTTTTTATGGTTTAACCGCATCTTTTAGCGGATGTGAACCACCCGTCGACACATTACTACGAGCCAAACGCTCCGTAGAGTGGGGCTTATTGCGTACAAGGTCCGTAAACTTCTTAGCTGCTATGTTGGGCATTGTGCAACCCCCAGACTGCAGTTAAGCGAAGGACGAAGCGAAAAAGGACTTCTTGCGCATCGTCCTTCGCTCACCCGCAGCCTCCGGGCCGTTACGTTCAATCTTCGGCGGCTCGTTTGCAGCCCAGGCTTCCGCTTTAACGGATCGACGGCGAGAATGTGAGGGGCTCCTCGGTCGGCGAAAGCGCAACACTTCCGCAAAGTCGTCGGGCGGAATCTGAAAGACCGCTTTTCTGGACGCGGTCGATGCGCCGGTCCAAGACGCGTTCCGGACACCATACCAGGGTAGAGGGACCCACCGGCGAGCATGTAGGCGGCCAGCTGGGCGGCCTTGGCCCGGTCGAAGAAGACGTCCCTCTGGGTGAGCAGGTAGCCGCCCGTGATGAAGTCCTGGATGGCCGCGATGAGGGGCTCCCCGTTGCGGGGCGTCACCAGGTTGGCCCGGGTGCCCATGAGCACCAGGGCCTCCGCCCGGGCCTCCTCCGTCTGCGGCAAGTGCAGGTTCATCTCGTCCCCATCAAAGTCCGCGTTGTACGGCGTGCACACGCACTCGTTGAAGCGGAACGTCCGGTGGGGCAGCACCTGCGGGAGCGGGGGTGGCTACCGAAATCACCTTTTTGAAACCCCCGACCTGTCCAGGTTTTCCCTGGCTTCGCGGCATGAGGACGCTCGCTACCTGTTAACGCCACATTCTTTGTTCTATTTGCTTCCGAGTAATTTCATTATTACGACCTTTGTCCCTTAATTATTTTGCGTATACTGTTTTGTTATTTTATTGTTTAGTGTTTGCTACTGGTTAGCACAACGTTGTCTATTGTCTGTTGGTTATTTTTAGTAATTGTTTCGAGGCCTGCCTGGTCCCACAGACAAGAATTTATTGCTCTTGTAAGCCAGATTCGTGTACGTGATTTGAAGAAATAAAACAAAAATATTATTTTATCGAAATTACCGCAACGGACTCCTAAAGGTACAGGACATGTCTGAAGTGCAGGTTTCATGCGAAAACAGAGGTATATCTGATGGCTGACAGGTTTGTGGCCAAGTACCGGATCACCTCGCCACATCGGAGTATTTGATCCGTTTTTTCTGAACAATGGAAAGGCTAGCTCTCACAATGTAAAGCCATTCGACAAATGTGCCGTACACAGAACAGTCCATTTAACCCTTTGAGTGCCGAGACTTCTTTCCCGCACTCTGAACGCAAATTTTAGATTCGCTGTACCAGGCTCCGTGAAGAATAAGTATTTCTCAAAGGCACGCTGTTCTATGGGCAAAAAAGTTAGTTGACATCTCCGTGCCTCCAAGCCAGGACATTTTTTGTTTTCGTACCATACTTTTTGAGGCAGACTACTAAGCACCTCAGCCTCACACATTGAGATTCCTCTTTTGAGTGGCCTTTGTTTATATGGAATTGTAACTTGCTCATTTTCCTCAAATACCGAGTCCATTAGTAATTTCTAGACCTTAGTATTTGTCACAAAGCACGAGGTTGAATCAAGGATTTCCTATTCTGTAACAATAAAAGAGCATACCAAAACAAAAATAAACTATGTGCCATGAAAGAGTGACACAATAGAAAACATTGTTTTCACCGCTTCCTCATAGATGCACATCAACTCTTACGTGTAGCGAGCGTAAACTCTTGGTTTACGCTTGCCACACATAAGCCAAAACTGAAACCACACGGGTGAACGCCCGAGCATACTCGAGTGTGGCACTCAAAGGGTTAATCGCCCAAACTAGAAGGACCCAAAGAGCGAAACCGAATGCGGCGTACTGGGACGGCTTTGGATACGTCTGTCGTCCGTCCATAGAGGAGTAGTAGGTTGTACCGCAGTTTGTTCTTGGTTGAGAATAGCGCAACAAGCTCTTCCCCCAAAGCCACTCAACCTTTCTGCTTAAATAAAGGCCAACCCACAGAAGTGTCTTCTTCCGGGCACTGTTTCCGTCTCCAGTGATGTGATTGGCCTAAGCCATTTTGCAGTACCTTTCGAAGCAGCCAAAACAATGTTTTGGAACAGCAAATGTGGCCTTTGGAGCAACCAAAACAGTGTTTTGGAGCAGCCAAAACAACGTTTTGGAGTAGCAAAAGTGGCTTTTGGAGCAGCTATTCTCAGAAAAAAAATATGCGTTTTCAGTGCTGCACAAACGAAGGATACGAAGGAAGGGGAAGGCTGTAGGCATTGCCGAGCAATTCCGAAAAACCACTTGCCACCGTTTTACTGCTTGCCGACGAGCCAGATTTTTGTCAAAAGTAAGCAAACGTGGAACAATGGACTGCAATCGTCCCGGCTGGTGCCTCTGTCATGCAATCATGTTCACATGCACGTGATGGCAACTTCGGCAGGCTTGCAGTTGCGCGTGCTTCGTCGCGCGAGCGGAGACAACGGCTGTTTGATTGAAACCGAAACCATGCCACACAGCTCCGTCGCCAGCTGATTCCCAAAATTGTATGCAAAATGTAACTGCCGAGTATACGACATAAACAGTCCAGCGGCTCGTGCTTGTCAGGCCGGCAAACAAGGTACAAGCTGAACCCATACAGAAAAAAAAAAAAAAAGAAGAAGCAGAGCCTGAGCGCATCGATAAAAAACATTGCGAGCCAGGGTCAAAAGGTTATTGGAGCACTTTGTGCAGCGACTGAACTCAAGAAAAACAAACGTGTTGTGCGGGTTCAGCGTGCAGACATTGCCTTCTTTGCTTTAGCTCGCTTCTCTTCGCTAACTTTCTTTCGCGGCAGATTTTCGCACGTACCGGGGTCCCTCTCGAAAGAAAGCCCACCGCGAGAAACCCAGGTAATCAATACTTCGACGCAGGAGCCTTTGAGTTAGAGAGGGATTTTTATAGTAACGTATGATTTACACAAGAACACGAATGTTGATGAACTTGCGGCAGTACTTAGTTTCATTTTAGAAAGCGCCATATCTTCAGCGACATGGGGACGGCAACACCCGACGTTGCGCGACCACGGTGACTGGAAGGCAGGGATCAAACGTAGTTTTCCCGCGGCCATTGCTTTCAGGAGCAAGTGCTTTAGCTCACAAAGTAACTCCCGCCGCGCAAAAACGTGGTTTTGTCCACAGCACGACGGCATGACTGGTACCCGGCACGCTAGCGTCGAAGCGGCCGCACAGACCCGCGTCTATCGTTGAAAATATTTTTAAAAAAGACGCGAGACGAGATTTACGTGGCGACGAGAGTAGGAAACGTGAGACGGCGGGAAAACTATGCAAGACCAAATGGACAATTGATGCAGGGTACTTTGTGCACGGTACTAAGTTTAGTTTCAGCTTTGAAAGGCGACCGAAATTGGTTTTTTGGCGCAGGTTTGGCGCAGATTACCCATATTTTGGCAAAATGTAGCAGGATGTAGCAGGGTTAGCCCCTTGGCGCAGCAATCACATCACTGCGTCTCTCTTTTCCCTCTCGCACCTTTCTTGCCCTCCCCTCCCCATGGATGCGGGCCTCTGAGCGACTCGCCACGGAAACAAGGATGCTCTTTCTCAAGTGGAAAGGAGGAATCGGGAAAGAGCTTCCTCCTTTCTGGCTTCTCGTCGGCCTTTAAGTGGAGCGAATGTTAGGGAGGACGTGAACGGAGAGGAGGAAACCATCAATCACAAATAGCTTTGTACAAGGGATTCGTCCAGCCCTTCAGAAAAAGCTCTACTGGATAGCTTTCTGATTCTGCATTGAAATTGTACAAGATTCTTTTTCTTTCTTGCTTTTCAATTGGCTTTATATCTTGTTGTTTTTAACGTGCAAGTACTGCAATTGCTGCTTTACTTCATCTACCTTTGTTTTCGTTTACCTACAATCTTGATTCTTTGACTGATGTTCAAAGCTGGGCCAACTTCTGACCACTAAAGGGGTGAACAACGGTTTCCATTGGAAACTTGGGGATCCCAGCCTGAACAAATATCCCACAAACTAACAACTTGTTTGAAATAAAAACACAATTTCACTGGACTTGTTAGGGGACATACACCAGGGGAAAACATCTCTTTCATTGTCTAGAATAACAAAACAAAATTTTTACTGTTTATAGTCTTGTATCTCTTCTTTATAAATATGGTGTTAGATATACACGGCTTGTTTTTTGTGTTCTGGATGCAATACACATGCAGAAAAAAACTATCTACTTGCACAAATGCGGGGCATGGCAACACACTTTATTAAAAGAGCCTAGCAAAAATAAACTAATTCACTCCTCTTAAACCTCCGGGTGCATGGAACAACAAAAATAAGGAGTGCGAGACATTTTATTTTAAAATAATTCAAAATCACAAAAAACACATTTCTAAGGGGCTAACAAATGTTTCTTAACTCTTCCATGACCACGGGAAAAGTAGTGATTTTCAAAGGACGCTTTTATTTTCCTACTTTACGTATAAAGCAATATGACACATCAAAATGTGGGCAATTAGTTGTTCTTTTAAAAGAAACAAAGGTTTCTATAATCTGAAAAAAAGATTTTAAAATTTTATTTTTGACAATACTGCTATGTCGAATTAAAAAATGATTAAGAAAAATTTAGAATGTAGAAAATGTGCCCCAAACCTACGGCTATTACTTCTGAAAGTGGGTGCACTCTAACTGATGTCTATTTTTGGTTTGTCGGAAAGTTGACCTATGTAGCATGTGTGCTTTTCAACGAAGGAGCGCCTATATTGGCGAAACACAGATAATACACCTCCCATCCCCAGTAGAATGCTCTCCTTGTGTTCTACCTTGGTTTTGTGATAGCCTTGATAGCACTTCCCTCCTATTTAGCAGTTCCGTCCGCCTTGTTGGGAACGTAAAACGTCACCTCAGGGCAGCCCTGGAAATTATAGTGATACTTACCGACAACCATCCGCTAAACGACGCTTATACCATCATTTAAGCTGTCCCCAGAGCTCTTGAGGTCTAAAACATCTGCCACTATAGGGTAGAATTTTGTAAATAAGGCCATCTCTGATACGAAGACCGATGCAAGCAGTTAGCTCTGTTAGAAAGGTGCAACCACCGTTCCCCGGACTATTTTTGACGTCCCACCAGCTCGTGATAACAAAGCTCAAACCTCTTACGTTGAAACCAAAACTAGAGTTCTTCGGCCATCCACAAGATTGTGGAATGTAATTCTCAGCACTAAGTTTAATCTATTGACGGCACTTGGAAACCAACGGCCACCGGTGATCTCTGGCCAATGGGCACGGTCAGGAACGAGCTAAATATTTCATAAATATAAAAAATATACATTCCAACCAAACCTAGGTAATTCCATTCTACATATTTCAAAGTATGTGCCTGCCAAATTTGGTAGTGACGGGACAATGTGTAATACAAAAATTATTCTGGACAAACTGTTAAGATGCCCCAAAATTACATAAAGACAAAAATGCGTGCAAATGTTACCAGAGATAAGTAGCGATACTCTTTTGCGGCAGGGAAAAAGGATACATTGCTAATTGTTTTCCGTGAGAACTTGAAGCTACAGAAGACTGCAATGGAGAGGAAACATCTAGGGATACCAGTAAATGCAAATGTGATGGTGGCTGATGTCACAATTTGAAGAACCATATACACAAAAAAAAAATGGCTGAAATTTACGTCGGTCTGGGTCGCAGGGAGGTCTTCAAATGTGTATTTGACTGATTTTGCCATGTATTTTTATACATAAAATATGTTGATTCAAAGGCGATAAAACACCGTAAAACCCAAAATCATGTTTTCTGCAATACATATATTGCCGTTTTTCGACCCGCATCTCCCTTAACTTGCAACGGACCAGTCCTGTTTCGCTGTTGCCTTTTTCCATCCCTCGCAGAAACAGTTGTGATATCAGAATGCTCTATGCAAAATACCCCGGGCTAAAAATGGCCAATGGGTCTAGATGGTGTAGATACACTCCGAAGGTAAAACACAAAAAAAAAAACGAGACAAAGCGGAAGGTAACTACGGGACACGGAGTTACTTTCAACTCAATTTTGAGCCAAGATAAACATCAAAATTAATTGAAATGTAATCTTGATTTAAAATTTGTATTAAAGCTACACCGTGTCCCGTTGTTACCTTCCGCTTTGTCTTCATTTTCTTGGCATTTTACCCTCAAGATGTACAACGCCCCTTTCTATTTTTTCTCTTCTGATGAACCGAGGACAGACTGGACGCATCTAGTGCTCTTGTAGGTAGTCTGAGGATTGAGCACTCCTTTAACAGTGCCCTAACCACTCAATTTTACTGGCGCCTGATTTTAGATTTGCTTTTGTGCTGTCTCGTTAGTTTGTCATCTATGTCTACTTCGGCAAAAGTTCATCTCGCCTCACGATGGAGTGCGGCAGACACTGCGAGCCATCCCAGCCGATTCAGCGTTGTGAACACATCATGTGACTCCTCCAAATGTCATGTGACAATCACGCAGCACTTGATTGACGCTGAAGACTCGTAGCGCCCCCTGTAGACCATCCCAAGGGAGAACAGAAAATAGGCCACGACTGTTTCGGGAAATAACAAACAATGAATAAATACAGAATTACCAGCGACCTTTATGCCCCAAGTTCTACAATACATGGAACACAGTGTTAGGGAGCGACCACTAAATTAGTTTACAAGACCTCAAACAGTCATTGGAGGGAATGAAGAACATTGTTTAATAATATGCCCGATAAATTTAACGGGGAAACTGACACTGCGCGAACTGACGTCCGCTTGAAATTTGTCAGATAACTGCCGCGGGGAGATTGACGTCACGCAACTTGCCATCGCGAGATCTAGTTGTGGTGTCGCGCGAAGCCGTGGTGTCGGGTTATCTGGTGTCATTTTGCCCGCTAAATTTGGCGGGGAAAGGCATGGACGGAGGTAGGGACAAAATTTCGGGGTTGGGGGATCCCGTTAACAAGCGTTCCACGCTTTCGCCCTTGTTGTCGCTGTGGATGTAGAATGGCGATTACGCGACTGCCCGCCTTAAAGCGAACTTGCGCCCACCGTGGGAGGATCTGCTATTGCTTATCTGTTCGGCAATCCATAAACGTTATATTCGCCCAGTTTTTCGCCATGCTGGGGCTATTTATAACTTTGGAACGAGACGCTCTGTGCATGTGATGTGTGCGAGATGGTTGCATTGCGTGTCGGCTTCTCCGACACAGGCAGTAACTGGAGTACCAGCTCTTCCGATTCAGACTTTTAACGCTTTCCAGAGTTGAATCGAACCGCCGCGGATTCCGAAACCGCCGGAACGTCGCGGAAGTGCCGAAACGAAAACCAGCGGAAAATATGTCGCAAGTTTTAGCGCGTAACATTTCCATTCGATGCTTCTTAACCTGAACAGTGCGCAAGCACTCTACGTGCTCTCGCTACATAATTAAGAAAAAGCTGGGAATTAACCCTTTCTTTACACTACACCTTTAGAAACAAAACCCAACAACTAAAAAACCTCATAAAAAAAGAAAAAAAAAATTTGACTGTCAAAGGAGTAAGGAGCGATCGCTCGAATTTGATTCGAAGACATTAATCAGTGGATTCAGGCAGTGAAGTATCTATATTTTTATAGATTCTATCGCTAAATCTAGCTGTAAAACTTACTCTGGTGCATGGGTCACGTGGCATCAATTTTCCCGCAAAATTTAGAGCAGAAATGCACAGACGGACGGACAGAATATTGGGATTGGGGGTTCCGTGAGAAAACATTTCCTGCTTGAAAGGTGCTCGGCATTTCTGTACCTTGTTTCACCTCACGCGTAGGATGGGCGGTCGAGTTAAGAAGCATTTCACACCGGGGCAAACGTCCCCACCGACCTTGGCCAAGTGAGCCATGATGCTGAGCTTGTGCAGCGAGGGCTGCCGGTTGAAGAGCACCACGTCGCCGTCCCGCAGGTGGCGCTCCACCACGTCCCCCGGGCGCAGCTGCTGGGCCAGCAGGTCCCGGTTGCCGTAGCGCAGGTAGCGCTTGAAGCCCGAGTCCCGGGACTCCAGGAAGTTGGCCCCCGGGTGCACGTCCGGGCCGTTGCGCACCAGCGTGCGCATCAGCGCCAGGTTGTGCTGAGTCACCCGCTCCGGGTAGGTCAGGATCTTGGCCACGTGCACGGGCACGCCCACCTGGGTGGCCGGAACCAATGAAATGAGTAAAAGACAGTGGATAGTCAGAGCTTTGATTATTTGTCTTTGAGAACAAAACGAGTAATATGGTGCAAAAGAAGACAAGGGGTAGAGTAGATGACACAAGGACTATTAGTAAAAAGCCAACAGTCGAATCTTTTTTTTTTTTTTTTTGCAGCTGGAATAAAACAGCACGAAAAAGAACAACCGCAAGAAGAAGACGGTCAATAGGAGTGCTGTGTTAGAATGTCTTCAGAATTCACACAAATAAAATGGTGAAAAAAAAAAAAAAAAGAACACGAAGACAAGTACAAGGCAGTCAGGTAGCCAGTGCTGTGTTTGTGCGTGTCTGTATAATCTGAATAAATAGTAGGGTGCAGAAAAAGGTGCAAGTAGAAGATGCAAGGGCAGGTGAAGACAGTTGGTAGTCGGTACACTGTTTGTGCGAGCCTTATACTCGCCTAGTGTCCTTTTTTGCACCGCACGATTTATTCCGAGCAGTCGAGGAGCACTACTTTGGCACATGATCGGACACCGCTGAGCCATGGTGCCCGCAACACGTCTTAAACCGGTGTGTACAGTGTCCTAAACTGCCCATGTGATGAAAGTGGTCCCAAAGCGGTAACAAGTTATGTCGCAGGAACCAGCGCGTTGCAACCCCAACCGTTGGGCACGGGATTTCTTGAAAAAAAAGAGAGGCAAGCACGAGTGTCGCCATAGTTGCGACATTTTAACTCTTGGCCGCCGAAGCTTCCATTGATTGTCAAGCTCGAGAGCAACCCACAGTAGAATGGGCATCTGTCGTAGAAACCTCGGCCGCCGTGCCACCACGCCGCCGCCGGGGGCAGAAATTGAGGGGTCACAAATGTGCTCCAAATCTTACTGAAATGGATCCGAGTTACTCCGGCGGATCATGTCACGTGACAACAGAGCAACGCTGGAGGTGCTTAGGTTTTCGAAAGCCAAGGTGCAGAACATTTACTCTAAGGCGAGATCGACTCAATTTTCGAATACAGCCTCGAAGACGCATTTCAGCACCATGCCCCAAGTGAAGCTGGGGTGACACATCCACTCGAGGCTTAGGGCTGAAGAAATGCTAAGAATGGCATATGTGCTTAAGCAGTTGAGAGCTTGCCATCAGAGTGCAACTAAACGACACTACACTCCCGAAAAACATATTTTGAACTGCATGAATAAGATACTAACGTTAGAAAAAACACTCCCTGAAAAAAAAAAAGAAAGATTGGTGCAATATTTACAATGACGCATTTCAAGTTAGCAGCGATTTGATTGGGTCGTGAGCGTCGTCTCAATAATGACTTCTGTTTGGAGGTTAATTTCACAGTGATGTCACAATAGATTTTATTTTCTGAGTTTTTCATTGGACGGGACAAGCACAGAGGAGAGGTATGTGCACCACATACTTGTTCCGCACGCCTTTTTTCTCCAAGCACTAAAGAAACACACCGGAGGAATGAAAGGTAGGAAGGCCTGTGTGCTGCATCTATATCTCTGCATGAATTGCCCGTCACATCGTAAATATTGTAATAATATTTCTTTAAATATTTTAGGAGGAAAAGCACTTTGTGACATATGTGGCCTATTGAGGCTGTTCAAAAATTGTTTTTCGAAAGTACAGTATCCTCTGAAGCAATGGTAGATGGTGTCGACATACTTTGTTTTACGCTTACATAGAGCAATGGGGCGAAGCACGCGGCAGCTCATCGCAGGAGAAGAGCACGCCAACAACAATTTGTCATGTGTTTCACTCCGACAACGTGCTAGTTGGCTCACTGGGGCCTTCGCCATTGGCCAAGCTAAGGCCTGTTCACACACAGAGCACAGTGCTAACTTGGCACTTTTGATCGGCGACAGGTTAATAAATAGTTTAGGGGAAGCTCCTCTCAGCTCTTGAGAGAGGTGGGAGGAGCTACTCCCAGACTCTTGACACCGACTGTAGACACTGCGATGTATGAGCATTCTGCTGCGCGAGACCCAATCCTCTTTCCACACACAATGCAGCACTAACTGTGTGGTGAGGCACCACAGACAGAAGCACCGATGGGTGCAGCCCCGACTCGGCGCAATTCCAGCGCCATGCTGCACGTGTAAACCTTTATGGCGAGACGGTACTGCACACCAAGCAATCTGGATCCTACTGGGCGGTAGAGCCCACTGTAAATGAAAACAACGACAGGTCTTTAGTACATCCCAGGGGTGGCCAGACGAACATGTGCAACGAGTCATAAAAATAATGATTTTAAGTCAAGAGCTGCGCCAGAAATGGGGCGCGGTTCTTAAATGCATTGCATTTAAGAACCGCGCCCCCTTTCTGGCCTTATCTTGGTGACGGCAACAAATTCTGCTCAGAGCAAAATGGTTGTTTCTGACCTTGATGCTCTTTATCCAGTTGCTGTGATGCATGTAGTGTGGCACGAGCCTGCCAAAATGCAAGCTGTGTTTGTCTCTCTCCTGACCATGCTCTGGAGGGTATGCGAACCATTGACTTGCAAGCTGCACTTGGACCCACAAAGAACCGCAGTTTAACCAACCCTGGTATACCCCGAAGGCGCTCTAAATGCGTGACATTTACAGATCCACCGTAATGTCACAGTATCGCCCGACGTAATGGGCTCACATGACCACCATGCACAAATCACATGACCTCACATTATGTGACCACTTGACGCAACATCACACTGCCACGGGACCTCACGGGGTCATGCGAAGTGATGCTAGAATGCCATGTCACATGATGACGTCAGGTATATACCATGACGTCACCACGGTGTGAACACCGTTACCTCACGAGCACGACGCCGTAGTCGAGGCAACAAGATAGATAGATTTTGGGGGTTTATGGTGCAATAGCTATGAGGCCATCTGCGCCAAACTAATTGTAAGGATCGTTGTACTAAAGGAAGGGTTTTAGAAAAGTATGACCAAAAGGCTAGAGTCGGTGTAAAAGGCCAGTACTACTAAGGAATTCTATTACTCGTTCAAAAGGGGCTAGAGGATTCTCTCCCACAAGGAAAGCAGGATGAAATGGGATATGATATTGAAAAAATTCAGGGAAATGAATGCGGCGCTTGGGCTGAAGGCCGGGACACAACCACAAGATATGTAAAACAGTGAGCCTGTCACCACCATACCTCGGCAAACCTCACTCATGAGGGCCCTCACTCACCCTCATCTTCACAGGTGAGGTGAGGGTGAGTGAGTTTCTGAACCAGGAAAATTCATGAGTGTGAGGGTGAGTGAGGGCCGTGAGGGTGAGTGAGGGCCGCGAGGGCTGTGAGGGCTGTGAGGGCGGTGAGGGCTGTGAAGGCGGTGAGGGCGGTGAGGGTCGTGAGGGCCATAAGGGCCACGAGGGCGGTGAGGGCGGTAAGAGGTATGAGGGCCATGAGTGCGTGAGGGGCTTGAGGGCGGTGAGTGGCGTGAGGGCCATGAGTGCGTGAGTGGTGTGAGGGCGGTGAGTGCGTGAGGCCCCCTTCAGATCGAGCATCTTTCTGAGCAATTTTGGTGTTAATGTGCTATGACGCAGTGTTTCCTCTACAGAAATTTAGAACACGGCGATATAAGTGTCGAAAACCATGGATATCAAGAGAATTGTTACAACGTACCAACAAGAAAAACAGACTGTTCGAAAAATTCCAAAAATGTAGGGATAACTGCATACTACTAGAATATAAGCAATTTCGAAATGCACTGAACCGTGACATAAAAAAAGCTAAATCACATTACCACGTAAGCAAGTTTAATAACATTCAATATGATCCTAAGCGTACCTGGAACGCTTTGAACTCTATCATCAAGCCCAATTCTAACCATACGCCCCTTAATGAACTGCAGATTGGGTCAGACGTTTTCAGTGGACGTGACATGGCAGATGCGATCAATTATTATTTTATAAACGTTGGTGCATACAATCGCTCGAATACGACGTCATCGAGCATTTTTTCACGAGCCCACCTAGAACATACTATTATGCTGAATCCTGTCACTTCTTTTGAAGTTGAGGCTGTTATGAAATCACTAAAAAATAAAAGCGCTTGCGGGGATGATAACATAAAAGCCGAACCGATCAAATACGTGTCTAACATTATAAGTGAGCCCTTGCAACATATCATGAATCTTATATTTGAAACCGGTAGTTTCCCACATGCCTTAAAAACTGCAAATAACTATCATTTATAAAAATGGCGATAAAAAGGATATCAGTAATTACCGTCCAATCTCGGTGCTCCCCGTACTATCGAAGGTTTTTGAAAAATTAATAAACAGTCGAATTCAAGCTTTCTTAATAAAATTCTCAGTTCTATCCACAGCTCAGTTCGGATTTCAAAAGGGTAAATCAACAGAAGATGCCTTGTTGCATATAAAAGATAAAATTTTAAATAACATTGAAAATAAACTTCTTACTCTTGGCATATACTTGGATTTTCGAAAAGCATTCGACAGCATCAATCATGACATCCTACTACAAAAACTTCCCCGCTATGGCATTAGGGGTAAAGCATTGGATTTAATAAAGAGTTTCCTACAAAATCGCGAGCAGTTCGTACAAATCAATGACATCCATTCTGATCTTAAGACTGTTAAATATGGGGTCCCTCAGGGATCAGTATTAGGACCTCTGCTTTTTATAATCTATTTAGACGACATTGTAAACATCTGAGTTTCTCCAAACTTAGTCATGTATGCTGATGATACTAGTCTCTTTTTTTCTGGTACTTCCGTAGATGAAATAGAACAAGAAGCTAATAACTACCTATGCGATTTAAACAGGTGGCTCGACATAAATAAAATGCAATTAAATGCTTCAAAAACAAAGTATATGTTATTTACGCCAAAAAATAAAAAGATCAATAAACTGCCATGTTTGACAACAAACAATTGCATTATAGACCGTATAACTGATTGCAAATTCTTAGGGGTATGGTTTAATGACAAACTATCCTGGACAACGCAAACTGAGCATATAAAAAGTGACCTCTCTAGAACAATAGGAATAATTTATAAGACAAAAGACCTCCTACCGACATGGTTGAAGGTACAGATATACTACACCCTCTTTTATCAAAAACTTTACTACTGTTTACTAGTTTGGGGCACCACGGTTAAAACAAATTATAATGAACTTGTAAGTTTACAAAAACGTATGTTAAGAATAATGACCAACTCGAATCACTGTAGTGAAGCCGAAAGCCTATTTGACAGATTAAATATCCTTCCACTTTCTAAACTTTACCATTATAAGCTTGGGCAGCTTATTCATAGAAACGGAATAAGCGGCTTTGACCTCATTCCTGCAAATTTGTCTGAATATAACTTAAGGACAACAAGGACATACAGACTACCATCTATTAGGACTAACTACGGAAAACAAATGATAAATTTTCAGGTTTCCCAGCTTCTAAATGCTGTTGGTAATAATTTCATAATTACTACAAACCGAACTACATTTAAAAAAGTCTACGCTCCTTTTTGATTGCCACTGAGTTGATAATTCTATAGATATGTTGAAATACATTTTTTTTTTTTAAATTTTAACCCGCATTTTTTGTGCATCCGCTTTTATTAAAAATCTTGTATACCTTGTGATCACGTTTATATTTTAATTTTATTGTGTGGACAATGCCAGATTGCTATTTTTATATGTGCCGGGAATTTAGGAATGTATTCTAGCTTCTTCACTTTTATGGTTTATACCGAAGTGCTTTTCTTACTTTTATTTGTTCTGAACAACATGGATTCAGGCGTAAGCTCTCTACGACTACGCAACTTACGGAAACAGTTCATTATTTTTCGGAAATTATTAACAAAAGGGGGCAAACGGATGTAATATTTTTAGATTTTTCGAAGGCCTTCGACCGTGTGTCACACCCCAAACTTCTTGTAAAACTATCTAAATTATTACCAAATGGCAAAGTGCTTCGGTGGATTAAAGACTACCTATGCAATAGGAAACAGCTTGTTGAGGTAAAGAAGGAACGATCATCATTACTGCCAGTGCATTCAGGTGTTCCCCAGGGATCCGTGTTAGGCCCTCTCCTTTTCCTCGTTTATATAAACGACGTAGTAAAAGATAACATAAACATAAATTTTCGCCTATTTGCCGACGATCTGGTTATATTTTCTGAAATTAAAAATGGCGCAGATCAAGCTAATCTCAATTCGAGCCTGAAAAAAATCAGTGACTGGTGCCAGACATGGCAAATGCAGTTAAACCTTGAAAAATGTGTTTCGATGACAATAACGCGTAAAAAGTCTCCGTTGGTATTTTCATACAGTTTAAATAACTCTGCTCTGCAACACGTTTCTTCATTCAAATATCTTGGAGTCACTATATCTTCTGATCTCAGATGGAATGCCCACATTGACTCGCTGTGTCAGAAGGCGATGTTCAAACTGTGCTATCTGAAACGTAACTTAAGACTACATCTGCAACAAAATTAATAGCCTACAAATCTCCCATCAGGCCACTTTTAGAATATGCTGACATTATTTGGGATCCACACACATTATCGAACATAAATAAACTCGAAAGAATACAAAAGAGGGCACTAAGATTCATTTACAACAAATACAAAAGATTAGATTCTGTGAGTGCCCTATACAGCATAGCCGGTATCCAGCCCCTCCAAACGCATAGGAAAATTAACAGACTCACTTTCCTATACACACTGATAAACGATGGCTTTAGAATAGACAGGTCACGCTATGTCACTCTAAAATCTGCGAGAAGCACACGTAGCTACCATGCCTTATCACTTACAGACTATCAATGCCATACCGACTGCTTCAAGTTTTCTTTTTTTCCTAAAACCATTACTGAATGGAATGAGCTGCCTTTTGACATCGTAAACACGACTTCCATCCAATCATTTAAAGCCTCGCTCTTTTCATTATTTAAATAACCTCGAGGCTACTTATTGCTTATTGTTTTGATTTTGTTGTGACTGCTGTCTGTTAGCCAATTTTTCAATGCACTGCTCCTGAAATAGTTTGGCAGCTATATATCTCGAACTAAGTTGTGTTGGTCGTTTGTGTATATAACATCGTTCAATGTCTTGTTCGCTTTCTAGCGTAAATGCTAAAATGTACATGGCAAAGTGTAATGATGCTCACTGTTTCGTTTCATTGTTGTGCAGTATTTCGGTTGTCGGTTTCACGGTTTCTGCTCTTTAATATGTTCGTTGCACTGGCCTTGTCCCATATTGTACGTTTCAGTCATTGTTTAGAAGCCCGTCCTACAACGCCCTCCTTGAGAAGGCAGTAGTATCTGTAAATAAATAAATAAAAATTTATTTCGTTTTTGCTTGATGTCTTATATTACTTTTTAATCTTTGTTTTTATGACAATGTTAAACAACATAATCAATGTGTGCTAGTATTCATTCTTTACAATTTTATGTATGCATCCATTTTCTCTTGAGTGTATGTATGTGTGTATCCGTTATATCTTGTAAAAGTATTTTTTTCTCTTGTCGAAGTTTAACCTTAATTGCTGTTGCTGCTGGATTTTGCCCCCCTTTCCCCCCCCCATTGGACCTTGGTGCCCAGTCAGGCGACACGATCGCCTTTTGCACCAAGGTACCATTTCGAGGAGTGTGTACCCCTTGAAAGAAAAAATAAACTGATTGATTGATTGATTGAATGGCGGGTTGTTCTCAAGCTTTCCCTAGATTGACACGAATTGCTGAGATCGGGTCCGGCTCGAAATAAGCAACTCAGAGTAATTCCAATACGTTTGAAGCGGCTGCATCTAATCAGGGACGCAAAATTTTCACGTGATACCTCGTGCCGGTGATGGTGACACCGAAAGACTTGGTTCTCGTTTGAAATCGATCGTTTTTTGGAAATAAACTGTTTCAGAAAGGTGCATTAGTATTCTTAACGAGATTTAAATGCATAAAAACATGTTTATAATGCGTAATTGTGTCTAAATAGTGCAAGAAAAATAAAATTTTATGATGACGACGGCAAATTGCAGCAATTGGTTGCGCGTGTGATCGCGGGCGGCGCGTGTTGCTGGTGTTGCGACGTAAAGTTTCCGGGCGAAATTGCCCCATCTGAAGCTGGCCTGAGTGGCGTGAGGGCCATGAGGCGTGAGTGGCGTGAAAGCGGTCAGTGGCGTGAGGGCGGTGAGTGGCGTGAGGGCGGTGAGTGGCATGAGGGCGGTGAGTGGCGTGAGGGCTATGAGTGCGTAAGGGCCGTGAGTGCCGTGAGGGCGGTGAGGGCCGTGAGGACGGTGAGGGCTATGAGTGCGTGAGGGCGGTGAGGGCAGTGAGGGCCGTGAGGATGGTGAGGGCTATGAGTGCGTGAGGGCCGTGAGGGCGGTGAGGGCGGTGAGTGGCGTGAGGGCGGTGAGTGGCGTGAGGGGCGTGAGGGCCGTGAGGGCGGTGAGGGGCGTGAGGGGCGTAAGGGCCGTGAAGATCGTGAGGTTCAGTGAGGGTGAGTGAAGGGCTGAAGGAGAGTGTGACTTTGAGGGTGAGTGAGGGGCTGAAGGTGAGTGTAGCTGTGAGGGTGAGGGTGAGTGAGGGGCTTACGTGAGTGTGGCTGTGAGGGTGAGGGTGAGTGAGGGCGACCTAAAATGACGACCTCTGGTCACCACACTGATCACACACGGGTGGATCTTCTCCCGAAAGCAGATACTTATGAGTTATAAATGAGTGCCCAATTCTCAGGCGGCACAACAATGTTTCATGAAGTCGGCTCTTGCATGAAGAGCTTTCCCAAACTCCCAATGCAGGTTTGGTAACATGGAGCTTGTTATCACACTCCATGTCCCATTCCAATTGCCAAGAATGAGGAATCGAGGACTTCACCAAGGGCTTAATATCTTGATAGGGTAAACAGGACAGCGATTGTCGAAGGTTCGCAGCAGATGCTGCAAGCTTGTCGGCTTCTTCATTGCCTTGAATGCCAATATGACTGGGTACCCAACAAAATTTTATATTTTGACCCTCATGCAAAGCAGAGTCAAGTTTATATCGAATTTTTTGTACAAGCATATTTTTAGTATCTTTAAGAGAGCAAATTGCAAGAATCACACTTTGAGAGTCAACAAACAGGACCACCCTCAGTATTTTCCTACTGATAATATAGTCAATCACCATTGATACCGCATAGAGCTCCGCAGTAAAAATGCTGGCAATACAATCAACTCGTTGAACCTTGGAGAAGCTTTGACAGTATACAGCGCAACCAACGAAAGATGAAGTCTTGGCGCCATCTGTATAAACATGAAGATAACCATCATACTTGTTTTGCAGTTCAGCAAACTCTTGCTTAATTACAGCATGGGAAATGCCGTGCTTGTTGAACTTCACGAGAGACCAGTCAGATTCAACTCGCTGTGTTTTCCAAGGTGGAATACCGTCGACTTTCCAAACGAGGACGACCTGGTCCAGAGAAAGGCCCAGCGAGGAGCGAAGATGTTCAATGCGGAAGCTTAACGGTCTTACAATGCTTGATTTATTTTCAAAAAGGCGACTCGAGGCAACAAGCCATAGACACAAGCGGCTAGATCAGTGCAAGGCAGAGATGCTAAGAAAGAAAGCAAGGTCCACTGGCCGTGGCCTGGCACATACCTGGTCGATGCGGAGGTTGGGGTCCGGCGAGATGACGGTGCGGCCCGAGAAGTCCACCCTTTTGCCCGACAGGTTGCCCCGGAAGCGGCCGTGCTTGCCCTTCAGCCGCTGAACGAAGCCTCGGGTGGGCTTCTTGGGCTGCATGTTCAGCGGGATGCCGCTCGTCTCGCTGTTCACGTACAGCGCGCACTGCAGCTGAAGGAAGTCCCAGTCCTCCATGATCATCTGCATCTTGGCCCCGGAGGCCCGGTGGCGCTGGATCACGTCGTTCAGGAAGATGATCTCGGTCAGCTTGACCGTCACGTCGTCCTCGTTGGTCCCCGCCTTCAGCTCGGACACCACCGAGGGCCGGATGCAGAGCGGAGGGACGGGGATCCGGGTCAGGATCAGGTCCTCGGGGCGCCCGCACTTGGGGTTCATCACCAGCAGCGGCACGTCTTCGTCCAGGATCCGCCGGAAGAGGTGCAGCACCACGAGCGGGTTCAGAATGTCACTGGTGACCTTGCCCATGACGGAATCGAGCTCCGGGTTGTAGCCACGGGCCTCGTCGAAGTCTTCCAGGAACTCGGCGAGCATGGCGTCGTTCTTCTTGGTGGCCTTGAAGCGCTCGTGGACCAGCTTCAGCAGTCCGCACTTCTTGACCTGCCCGTTGCGGGCGCCGCAGAAGTGGCAGGCGGACTGCTTGCGGCAGCGCTCGATGATCTTCTTGTGCAGGGCCTTCTTCTGGAGGTAGGACAGCGTGGGCCGCTGAAGGGCGTCCAAGAAGCCCTGCCGCTCCTGCGGCGGCACGAGCACGCGCGCGCACGTCTTGCACACGCAGTGGAGGATGTTCTGCGTAGCTCGGAAGTAGCCGACATGGAAGACCGGCAGCTCGAGGTCGACCAGGCCGTAGTGGCCGATGCAGTCGGCCAGGCCCTTGCCGCATGTCTCGCACTTCTTGTCCTTCTGGCTGGTGCCCAGCTTGTTGTCGAGCACGCCATATGGGACGGCCTTGTGCAGCGAGTCGCGCTGGTACAGGTTTTTGCTCACGCAGTGCACGTGGCTCAGCTGCTGGATGTCGTGAGAGTTGAGCACGCCGAAGCGCATCTGGCCGATCTTCATTGAGGTGTCGGCCTCGCGGAACTGTTCCTTCACCATCCTGCTTGCTGGGCCCACTCGGCTCGACGGGCGAGTAGCGCTATTGGGGCTCTAAAGCCACAACTACTGCCAATTTAGCGCGAAATTTCGGTGCTAATGGCATTGTTGCAATGAACGCACCACACGCACAGCGCGCACGAAAGCAACATGCGCGGCGCCATCTTGGTTTTGTCACTGCCCATGACGTTTATGTTATTTATTCATGTTGGACGAATTATCTTGTTTTATCTTCTCCTCGAGCTGAACTCTGCGTTGTGCTAACTTCTAAAACAAGTTTCTAAGTAAAAAATTTTTTTACTTACGTTATTTAAGTTTAGAATACTTGCGAAATTTTACTCTTTCTTTCAGTCACAACATCACCATGCGCTTTTTAACTTTCTGGGCTTCTGGGCTTGCTCTGTGGATGGATGAATCTGGCTAAACCCTGTGAATCGGGCGGTGGCTTGCGCCACCTAGCCAACATTATAAATCGAATTATATGTTTATCTCACCCCTGCCTCGATTTTAGCCACCAGTCTGATAACCTCCGCTTGGTTATTTCTACCCGTGTAAAGTCTATTTTTCCTTCACTGTCTTTAAAACCCAATGTTTTGATTAAATCCGCCCGGTCACCGCCCACCCGGTCACTACATAAAGTGTCCATCTCCTGGTACTTAACCCGGTACGTCTTAGTCCGCAATACTCCTGTCCTGGCCTCAAACAACAAAGAGCTTCCCCTTGAATTATCGTAGATATTTTCTTTGCAAATTTCCTGTTTGAACATTCTGTACGTCTCCAGTGCTGGTTTTGTCTGCATACCCGTTTCCCACAGACCCTTCTCTGTTTCTTTTATCCTTTTCTTAACCCGTAATTCCTGGTTGGCGCCCCCACTGCCGCCCAAATATTTGCTTGATAATTTTCTAGTTCGCTTTCTCCATTTGGTATCTACATTCCTCATGTACAAATAACTGAAAACTTTCCTAGCCCACTGCTCTTCCCTGCTGGAAATGGCAGGCCTGTTCCAATTGAAATGCATAGCCAAAGCCTATGAGCATGAATGTGCAATTGGCACCGATGAGAAAATCCGATGTTTTGCACATTGGTGCAACTGGAAATGCTGCAGAGAAGCCGCAGCACGGGGGAAGGCCAAAGAATCGGTTGAGGGAAAGTCAACTTCAGGGGCTTCAGGGGGCAAGCGCCATGATGCCAATGGACCAATGGACCTTTTCCGAGAAGCGTTCTGCGCACGCGCGAGCGCCCGATGCCAAGCGGTGGAAGTCGGCACGAAAAAATCGAGGAAAATCGGAATGAGGCTGTAAACCGACGAGTAGAACACGTAATTGCAGCATATATATAATTGTGTTACACAAAAAAAGAAAGTGGACGGAAAGAAAAACACGACGTTTGGGTGGACGCTACGGAAGTCGCGCTAGGCCTACCTTGTTGCGTTGGGCACGCGACGCTGCTCAGAGAGCGAAGCAACTGGTAACGTAGCTCCCATTATCGATGGTAGCGCAGGTAGGTCACTTCCTTGATTTTTAGTTCGTGCAGCCACCGCCTGGTGCCGTCGGTATTTGGAAAAGGTCCATTGTGTCAGTGTGCACGACACTCAGTTTGCTCATTACCGCTCATTGCAGCCAGTGGCGCTATGTGGCAGAGCCATTGTACGGGAGATAGCAAAGAGCCATGCACTGCAGAGAAGTGAACTCGGTGCAGTATGGCAGTGACAATGCTCAATCGCCAAATTAGCACACCAATTTTCTATGGGACCGATAGAGATTTTTATGCGATCAATAGGATTTCATCGTACCGATGGGCATTTCTACTGGGCCGATAACAAGTTATATCGTACCAATACAGACTTCTCTTGTACCATTAGGAACTTCTGTGGGACAAGCAGGAACTTCTGTGGGACAAGTAGAAACTTCTATGGGAACAACACGAATGTTTTCTGGTCCGAAATACAAGTGCCTATTGGTCCTTCAATAGGATCAATAACAAGTACTGGTTAAACTGAAAGCTTCATTGGTGAAATGGAATGCATTTCGGATCGAGAACTTTTAATGGTCGACTGGGAATACAGAACATAAAATCTATTAAGTGGGCATCTATCAGGTTAAACAGTATGCTTAGTGGAGAAATTAGAGTTGTTATATACTAAAGTTTTATGTTTTGAGCACAGGGCCCCTAAACTCGTCGTACACAAAGTTGGAGCCCAAAGTTAGCGGAGCGCGCCGATTGGACGCCGCCGAAAAAAGCGCCAAGTCATCGTCGGGATCGTCCAATCGGTGCGTTCCGTGAACTTCGGCCCAAACTTTGTGTTCGACGAGTTTAGCACCCCAGGAAAATAATTTTTGCCGCAAATATACCCGATGGCAGGCACGCAGCCAGGATTTTGATTCGCCCATGACAAAATACTGTATGAGGGGGAGGGGGGAAAGGAGGCCACACCAAATGAAAGGTTTGGGAGGAGGGGGGGGGGGGGGTCCCATGGGCCTTCCCCCCCCCCCCCCCGTGCAGATACGTGCGTGCCCGATGGGTTCCTCTCTGTCAAATAAAATTTTTTTTTTTAGCTATATAACTTGGGTTGGGCCATGTAGACACTAATTAAATAAAACATTCAGTTAATAAAGTGAATATGAACTCTTTTTTGTCACGTGTTTTAGAATTTCCTGATTACGTACTGTCCTCCTTCGTGTTATAAAACATGCGGCTGCCAGTAAAACGTAAAGAAAAGACTATGGGGAACGGGAACATTGTGTGTGCACATAGTATGCACAAGATTCATGAATAATTATATATAGGCAAGCCACGAAATTCAGGTATCATCGGAACTCTGCAGTTTTAGCGGTGTATTCTGTCCTCTTGTTTTCCAGGATGTCTCAGTAACAGTAATAGCGTAAACGATTGCACCAACTGGATTATGTATTCACATTAGACTTTGCTCCATTTTATTCAGTTTTACCTGGTTTCGGAGTGGAACGTTCTCGTTTTTGTATAAATTTCGCTCCAGAACCGAGCAAATCAGAGTAAAACCGGGTCAAAAACAGAATAACACTGACTCAAAAATCCTATTATCATCTTTCACGATTGGTCCAAAGCTCTCGGACTTCCGACGTCGGGACGTTAAAAATTTGGCGGAGTTGGCCAAAAAATGCGATACTTCAGGCTTCCATTTTGCCATGTGAACGTATCCTGTTTGAGCCCTAGCAGAGGCTACGCGCTCGTTCTGGGGCGGCAGATCACGTGCACATTCTATCGTGGGCATGCTTTTTATTAACAGAAAAGAAAAGCCGGTAGTGCCGAATAACATCTAATAATTATTAACACCATAGAAGTCATTAAAAAAAAGCACATAAAATGCGCGCACACACACACACACACACGAAATAAGGATGACCTTCCCGAAATTATGATTGCACCTTGTTTCACGCACAGTAAGTGTCAGGCAGCGCTTTCCACTTTGTAGTTGAGCAAGGAAGTTCCTTTTTGAAAGGCATTTTATGCGCTTGTTGGCAGTTTGGGCCTTTAGTTTGGCTTCTGGCTTCCCAATGTTGTAGTTTTCCTTAATGCCGGGAAGAGTGTACACTCCAGCAATGAAGTTTTCGAGATTCAAAAGCCCTTCATTTTGCGTCCAATTAAAATGAAGGCCAGCCGAAACAGGGTACGTCAGACTCGTTACATTCGTCTTTGGCAGTAGCCTTTTCGGAAACTTGGACAGGAAATTGGTCTTCAAATCTCCCGTCACTTTCACAATTTTATCACTTGTGTCTTCACTAACTGGCCCAGTACTGTGACCGCTTCTGGTTTCATTGGTACTACTTAGTTCACGGCAGGGCCGTACCCAGAAAAAAATTTCTTGGGGGGGGGAGGGGGGTTTCGGGGACAACGGCGGCCATTTTGAAAGTGTCTATTGTCTTATTTCCGCCTATGAATCATGTGCATCGGTGGTATATAATGGAGAGTTGCGGAGAACCGGTCCCGGTTTGGTATCCGGTAGCCGAACGCCGCCACTGCGCGTGCGCAGAGGTGGAGATTAAAATCGGCTGGCTGCAAGTGCACCGACCAGGGCCGTACCCAGAAAAAAATTTCGGGGGGGGGGGGGGGGGGGGGGGGTCTAAACCCCCTATTTCCCCCTGGTTACGGCCCTGGTTTTCACGGGGAGTTTTTGTCTCACCGTGTTCCGAGACAACCGAGCTTACAGAAACTGCTGTCGGCGACGTCGGTTCTGGTCCCTGGCCTGTTGTAGCATTTTTCAGGACACAGCTTCGTCTCAGGACTGTTGTCCTTGGCAAGCTGGGTATACTTAGTGGCTCCAAGTATATTTTTTTGTTTGGGTTCATCGTCGCACAGCGGGACACCCTACGTGTCTCAAATCCAAATTTTAAAATTCGCACCGACGTCGTCCCGCAGCAAATGCAATTTTCTAATTAAAATGACAAATAAAAATTACTCCGTTATAAGTTTAATATATATTCAGTATTTACATTTGACAATTAAGTAATACCATAATTTTTAGAAACGTTTATTATTTTCTTAAGTGCATCAGTCACACTTGCGGGCTTGCGAGTTACACCACGTGACAATATAGAGTGAGCTGGAGTCAATAGAGTGAACAGTGGGGTCACCCGCATGACATATAAGACCAAAATAAGTTTTTAAAGTGGAATTTATGCAAATTTTTTACAAAAACAAGAGTTAAAATACGAAGTATTATAGTCACGTGATACATCCCCTGCGAGAGGAAGTGGTCCGACGTGATAAACCGAACGGTCCGGCCGGAGGACAAGGAAGCGTGGAAGAAGAATCGAAGCTTACCGAAGCTGCCGAAGCAACGTTCGCGGGAAGTCTAACCGCTTGAAGCACGTTGCAGAGTCGAGACCAGTTGAGCGGCCGGAATTTTACGAACGATTATGCAAGCGTACGTCTTGAGGACGACCATGAGCCACAAATCATCTCAAATTTCTGCCCGTCAAGCCTTGTGACGAAACGGAATCGGACTTCTTCAAGGCGCGGATCCTAAAGTTGTTTGGGTAAGTTCTAGTCTCCACACGCGTTGTGCCCAGTCTAGTGGTCATCTCCTTTAAGTTGAAAATTGCAGCTTTAAGCACAATATGTGGGAGTAACTCTCGGCGCCGGTTGTTTCAGGATCGCAGAGTGACGCGGAAACCCAGTGGCAGTAAGCGGGTGCTAGTACCTCCGACGAGATGAGTGACTGCCCGGGAGGGCTGGAGGGAGCTTGTATGAGACAGGTAATTGTAATTTCATTTTCGCGCTTGCGAAGCAATTCATAAGACGTATATTAAATTTGAGATTTTCTTTAGTTATGCCGCCACAAGTACAAGGAATTTCATTAATAGGGGTGCCATGTGTTTGTTTTCATATGCCCAGAAACTAGGTAAAGGTTATGTGTTTTAACATTTTTTCTCTGCTGATAGGCTTAAGGTTAGAATGAATTATATCTGTCAAGGCGTGGCGCAGTCTGTGTCGATTTGGAGAAGAGGTATGTGTGTGTGTGTGTGTGTGTGTGTGTGTGCGTGCGTGCGTGCGTGCTTGTTCGTTTGTTTGTTAGTTCGTTGGGGGAGAGAGGAGATGACGAAGAGGAGGATGAGGGATCACGTCGAATCATTCAAATCGTTAACTCTGACAGTAATGAGGTAAGAAGGATACCTGCTAGTTACAACGGTTCGGTTTTGTGCCAAACTCAAATTGCGTTTTGCCGCATAAATATTGCTACAATTTTTTTTTTCATCAACAAAATTAATTTTGAGGCATGCCGTTGACAAATAGGACCCCTGTTTTCAATCCCATTCCAGGTTATTCGCGACTTCAGCGAACTATAGATGGCGCACTGCTCAGGCAAAATTCGGACGAAAGAAGGTCGTTTTCGTTGTTCAGCATGCGGACCATCACGAATTCCTGCACTGCAGCGTAAAATCAGTGTTACATTTGAATGCGAAGCGATTTTTCGACCCTAGAAACGTTTGTCTACTCAGTGCGTAGGAAGGACCCGGTGGAATCATTAAAATAATTACTGGAAACAATGTTTGTTTCTATGCTGCCTACGAGAACCAAGCAGCGATAGCAGACGACAGAGTCGGGACAACCTCCTCTCCTGAGCTTCTCGGCGCTGCCGCTACGCGGCGTCGATTTCGCTGGAGTCACGAATATTGCGCTGGTAAATTTCCTGTACATAGTGCTGCTTTAAAGATGAACTGAAGTTTATGTCTTCTATGTGTGCATTGGCAATGGCATGTGGCTCAACAAGACTTCACACACGAATGTTCTCAAATAGAAGAGGGAATCAATGTTCATCCGGTAAGGTTTGGTAATTATCTCCGCCACAGATGGCCTCCTTGGCGAATTGGAACCGGCAGACCTTCAAACCGCACAAAGGCTAAGCAAAGCCACAACTGGATGCAGCAAGACTAAAAGCTTTATAATATTCTGTAAGGACTATGGCTTTATAGCCTTTTGTAGCAAAACATACTGATCTGAAAAGCGTTGTTTGTGGTTATTTTAAAGTGGTATACGGAAACTTCGTCGTATTGTATTAATTCTGGTTCACTGCACAGTTAAAAGGTTTGTCTTCGTTTACTGCCAGAGAAATATAGCTTGCGATGAACTAAATCAAAGTTATGACTGCTGGTGTCATGTACATATTCAGAACTTTTTTTTATTAAAATAATTGTAATCAAGTGTTTTTATGGGTTTTTTAGCACTGTGATTAAGATACGTCAATGTGTTTTCTAAGAAAGACTACTAATTTGCAGTTTGTATCTTCTCCTAAAATATTTTGTAGATCTGAGCATGTATTCATACCTGAATATGTGCCAGGCATAATTGTTTACTAGGCCTGTAAGCTTCCCCACTACATCATTGCTGCTATGTTAGCGCTTCCCAGCTATTATTCGAGAGAGAAAAGTGTTTCTCATGATCAATTAGGTTGAGATTGTTTAGCGTTAATGTTTTTGAGTCCCCCATTTTTAATTGCTGACAGAGCGCTTCAATGTCCGTTTATTTTTGGTTTGCCGCTATTTATCACCTCAAGCAAAAACATCACGCCACTGGGATTAACCTGAAGCTCACCTCGTGATTAACGACGCTGCCGTCCACTGTCTTAAGGTGGGCCTACGTTCATGGGTACTTGTCTAGTGGTTCTGGAGTTGATGTTGCTGAGATAACCGAGACGCCGATTTCTACGATGGCCTCTGTCAGCATCATGGTCAATTACAGCTGGCCCGAGCCCGAACCAGGCCAATCAACGTGCTGGCCCGAACCAGGCCAATGAAAGTGCTGGCCCGAGCCCGGCCCGGGCCCACAGTCAAAAGTCCGAGCCCATCCCAGGCCTGGGCTTTCGGGTAAGCCCAAGCCCGTGCCCAGTGGTATAATCTTTAATCCAATCGCCATATTGAGATAAAGACGTCAAAATTCCTCAGTTTAAATGTCGGAAGTGCCTCAATAAGAGCAGGTATAAATATTAGTAGCAAATTTAATGATAAAAAAACTGCGCCGACTTTACTCAACAAGATTAACAATTGAATCAAGCGTTTCGTCTCCCATGCGGGGAACATCATCAGTGAAACCTTCAAGCAGGGATGAGCGAAAAAACTTCAACAATCTTATTTAAGCAAGTCCGCATAAACATCGGGGGAAAGGGCCGCGGTTGGAGTTGCAAGCTGATCAGTCACTTCAGATGAACCATGATTCCACCAACCTTCGTGGACCCCACCTTTGTTCACACGCCAGAGTGGACGCATTCTCAAAGTCGAAACTGTGACCCGTATTCCAACAATGGTCTACGAGTTCCTTCTTCGCTGTGTTTGTTTAGGCGAGTGCAGCGCTTCCAGCCTGTCTCCCCAATGTAGGATGTGTCACAGTCTAGACAGTTCACTTTATACACAACACCGCACTGGGAGTCTGGGGGGGTGTAATCTTTAGGTTTAGAAATGAAGTCACATAGTTTATGGTGGGGTTTGAAAGCTGTGCGGATATTCAAAGGGGCGAGGGCCCTGCGAATAGACTCAAAAGCACCTCTCAAATAGGGTATTGTTGCTTGCCCTGTCCTAAGTTGTCCATTATCCTGACTTTTTTGTTCCATCTGTTTGTGCGTGTTATCAATAAAACGTTTCGGATAATTCCGCTTCATCAGCAGGTCAACAATAACAGCATCCTCAGAAGCGCGCAAGCCGCCTCGGTGGCTCCGAGGCGAGAGCGCTGGCCTACGGATCCCCATGTGGTGGAGGCTTATTGCGGAGCAGGCGCCGTGTAACCGAGCTTTCGGTTGCACGTCAAAAGATCCCCAGGTAGTCTAATGGTGAATTCCACTCGTAGATCTGGAGCGCTTTCCAAAGTCTGCGAGGGAGGCAAAATTCCGCTCCGTGGGACCCGCTCCGAATCGACGAGGGAAAGATAAACTTGCATTTTTGGAGCGACCTCCCCCACACCCCTCCCCATCCCTTCTCCCTCCGCCGCACAAAATGGCCGCTGCTCGAACTTGACCAGCCCACCAACGCCTCAGCCGGCTGATCTTTCCGACGACCAGTGACGACTGTCACTGCTTAGCTGCAGAAGTAACACGCGACACAGGCCGGGCGAAATTATACGTACCGCGGCGCCCATGTCACAAATAATGAAGACGTCCGCGTTCGGCACCGTCACATACCTTTCGGCCGCCTCGAAGCGGCGGGGCACGGAGAGCGATTGCCAGCGGTGGAGTTCAGATTTGTAGTACGACTTTAATAAACACAGAGGTAACAAACCATCACTTTCGCGGTCATTGCCTAACCACTTCTTGCTTTATTTCACGGGAAAACGCCGACAGAATGCAGTGTAAAAAGGTAAACAATCACTGGCTTCAGAATGAATAGGCCTAACCTTGCGTCTGCCTCCGGCTTTTCTGTCGTTCTTTTTCTCGTTCTTCCTCTCACGATCACAGACGTCAGCGCTTACGATTTGCCACGCTCCACATTCCCGGCTTTTTATCTCTGATCTACGCGAGGTAGAAGCGTTCGAGCCGTCACAATCCAGAGTAAACAACCGACGCACCCGTACAGATCCAACTCCACGACCCGACCGGCCCGCCAATCTCTCCAACCTCTCGCCGCGCATGCGCACCACCGATTTAGACGGAAATCACGTGGGCCGCTCTGTCAGCTTCCGGAGAGATCCGTGAAATCCCGCAGAGCAAGTTCGGCGGAGTTTGGGGCGCTCCGTGGAGCGGGCGCTGCCAGAGATCTACGAGCGGAAGATGACCAACTTGAGCCAGATCTGCGAGCGGAATATGCGCGCTCCAAATGGAGCACTTTTGGAGCGCTCGAGATCTGCGAGCGGAATTCACCATAAATTAATCCTCAGTCCTCCGCTGGGGCGTGCCAGATGGCCGTCGTCGGTTTAGCACGTAAATCCCCCAAATTTGACTTTTTTCTCGGAAGCGCGATTGAGGATTAGAAGAAATGCGTTCGGACCGGTGTATTAGGTTTTTTACGACAGCCCTTTTATGTTCGACAGAATGATGCGAGTTAAAGCTTAAGAGGTTGCCTGTATCACAGCTTTGCGGTACACTGTTGTATATAAGCGACCGGTACTATTTCGGAACACATTAACATACAGAAAAGGCTTTGCACCGTTCTGTTCAACTTCATGTGTGAATTGGATTGATGATTCAATGCTGTTTAAAGCTAAATGAAAGTCACCAAAGGGACATGGCAAAGGCCACGCATGCGACAAGAGCGAAGTCGGAACTCGTAGACCATTGTTGGAATACGGGACACAGTTTCGACTTTGAGAATGCGTCCACTCTGGCGCGTGAACAAAGGTGGGGTCCAAGCAGGTTCGTAGAATCATGGTTTATCCGAAATGACTCATCAGCTTGTAACTCCAGCTGCGGCCCCCTCCTCAATGTGTATGCGGACTTGCTTAAATAGGACTGTTGAAGTTTCTTTCGCTCATTCCTGCTTCAAGGTTTCACCGACGATGTTTCCCACATGGGAGACGAAACGTTTGATTAAATTGTTAATCTTGTTGAGTAAAGTCGGTGCAGTTTTTTTTATCATTATGTTTCCCGGCTTTTGGAATATTTTTGCAGCACATTTAATGAAGAAATGGATGCCGATAAACACCTGCCAAGGTTGACTAAAAATAAACAGAAACATCCAATTAATAGTTATGATTGCACTTAGCGGTTGCTATGTGGATGTTTTTTTATGTTCGACAGCTCAGCAAAGTCTGCGGATCTGGTTATGCTTCCTGTACGAGACAGATCACGAAGCGGTTGCTGACTGACCAGTTGGGGCGAAAATTTTTGTGGGAAGGACGTAAGGGAAAGTTGACATTCAGGAACCTTCACCTTGCTGAGTGCATCATAAGTAATCTCTGGAACAGTAGTGCAGATCGCTTCACATGGAACCAGATTTATGGAATTGTTGGTGTCATACTTCTGTTGCTTTCTTTTATCAGATACAGTGCAGGGCTGCCATAAATGTGAAGACTTCAAGGTAGAAACCATGGTCACGGATTAACTTCGCCACGCACCTGCCTGACATCAGTCATCTCAAATGGTAAGCTGGTCTTATTAAGCTGATGTTAGCACAAAAATCAAACTTTTCTAGAACAGTAAGTATGGTGTGCAATTTCTTCAAAGCATAATTTCTATATGAGAGTATTTGAATGCTTTAAATATTAAAGCCAGTGACACCTTTTTTGGTTTAATTTGAGAGCGAATACTAAAAGTGTGAACAATATTAAATAATTAAAAAAAAAAAATTTTTGTTTGGAGTGTTTCTCTAAGAGGAAAAATTTCATTATGTAATAGTACCTTATTATGGATTAAAAAGAATGCATAGACAACGAATTTTAAGAACACTGATATTTGATGTAAATCTAACAAACAAAAGTTGGCAATACAGTACTCACATCCAGAATGAATGTGCTTTAAAAACAAGGCATAAAATACTTGTGATTTATTTACATCAGTTCCAATTCTTGCATATTTGAGTCACTTCACTTTGAACTTCACTGTTTTTATTAGTTTTATCTCAAAGAATGGTAAACCACTGCTCACATATCTTTAACGTAACATTTTTTCGTTGCTTTTCAGGAACATTCTGCACCACAGGAGAGAGAGATGTGAACTGCCTTAAGTGGGCCTTGAATGCGCTGAGATTTTTATTATGTTTATCAGACATTTTTTTTAAGCAAAGTATCCTGCATTGTTCAGTAAGTATACTTTATTTTGAAAACCTCATGCTGTCTATGCAGCATTGTTCAAAAATTATACTTTATTTTAAAAGCATCAAGCACTGCTCGTCTGTCTAACAGTAACAATAAAGAGTTAATGGCGATTTGTTTGGCACTGCAACTTTTTCTACAGAACGGATGTGCATGCCTGACAGGCTGGGCAGGAATTTAGTGCGCTACTCACGTTCAAAGTTACGCTGCAAGACTGCAGCGGCATCTTTTGGCTTGCAGTCGGTGCTACAGCTCTCATGGAATTCTGGTGTCCTCGTCACTAGAGCATATGACTACTGAAGCCTTAGACTTCAGTAGTCAATTCCTCAGGGCCGTTCGTCATAGCTTATGACAATGTTTGTGTCCAGTATTTCAGTTCTCTCGCATGTGGCGAGGTCCACCTCACTAAAACGAGTCAGCATCAGTAGTGTCGCCTTCCTTGTCAGTGTCGTCTGCATTGATCCTGTGGTAAAGCTTCTGAGCTTGATGGTGAAAAAAAAACTTCAGTATAAAGAATGTCGGCTGCGGGCCTGATTGCTACATTATACATCTATAATGCGCCATTTGGGTATACATTGAGAGCATGCACGGGCCATACAGCAAATCTGCCCTCTGAGCTCTTGTTTTGTAAAGAATTGGACTCTTATCCGTTTAAATTTTTCTGTAGGACAGTTTACACGCTATATGCTAGCATAAAATGAAGGCTGCTTAGGCACTTCCTTGCCCTCCTGGTATAGGGCTGGTCCCTATACCAGGAAAGGTAATATTTCTGAGGTATGTACATGGTACATCCACAGGATCAGGCTGAACATCCTACAATGGTCCTGAATGTCCAGCTGCATCAACCAGATTGCGTTAGTGGTACGTTTTCTGGGGAACCATTTTGCTCTGCACAGTAGATACTTTCAATGTTGGATGAATCGTAGCAGATATCCACTGGATATGTTAAATGTCCGAACAACACACCTCTCGGATGTTTAATAGACGGTTGCTGGTTGACTGGGTACCATCAAACCAATGTGCACCGGGGCACCTGTTGTCAATTACCGCTCATTGGTTTTCGCCCCCTAAACGCCATCAACCCAATGTGCACAGGGGTGCCTGTCGTCAATTGCCGCTTATTGGTTTTTGCCCCATAAATACCATCAATCCAATGTGCACAGGGGGGCCTGTTGCCAATAGCCGCTCATTAGTTTTTGCCCCATAAATACCATCAACCCAATGTGCGCAGGAGCACCTGTTGCCAATTGCTGCTCATTGGTTTTTGCCCCATAAATACCCTCAATGCAATGTGCACTGGGGTACCTGTTGCCAATTGCTGCTCATTGGTTTTTGTTTCATAAATGCAATCAGCCCAATGTGAATTCCCTAAAGGTTTACCAATTCAGCCCAATGTGAATTCCCTAAAGGATTATCAATTCAGCCCAATGTGAATTCCCTAAAGGATTACCAATTGGTGCACGTAGGTTTTTGTTTCATAAATGCATATTGCTCAATGTGTCTGGACCTACAGTTGCACATTGGTTCAACGTGAATTTTGGCCTCATTTCACATCGCCCATTTCCAGCAGGGTTCCTCCATTTCCCTCAAACGCTCCTCAAATTCTATCTTGCTGCTAGCTTCCCTGCTCTCGAATGACGTCCATCCCATGTCGCCTTGTACCCCCTGATTCGGCGTATTTCCACGAGCTCCCAAAGCAAGCCTACCTACGCCCCGCTGTTTAATTTCTAACTTTGCTTGAATATCTGGTCTCATGCACAGGACCGCATTGCCGAAGGTCAGGCCGGGAACCATGACCCCTTTCCAAATCCCCCTCACCACTTCATACCTACTGTAATTCCACAGAGCCCTATGTTTCATGACGGCTGCATTCCTGCTACCTTTCATCGCTATATGTTTTTCATGCTCCGTTAGATACTCAACACCATTATTTAGCCATACCCCAAGATACCTGTACTTATCCACTACCTCCAACATGACCTCTTGTATCCTATGCTCGCCAACATCTTTATCATTAAAAATCATCACTGCCGATTTTTCTTGACTAAATTTAAGACCTAGTTTATCTCCCTCTGTACCACAGATATCCATTAATTTCTGCAAATCTTCTTTGTTGTCGGCCATTAGCACTATATCATCTGCATACATCAGCCCCGGTAGTGATTGTTTAATCCATTCACCTTGCTTAATGAAAGAAAGGTTGAAGCCAAACCCGCTCCGCTCTAGCTTGTTCTCCAATCCCTGTAAGTATAACATGAACAACAGAGGCGACAAAGGGCAGCCTAGAGCACTATATAGCTCCTACGGAGCAGAGTAGCGCAATCCTTTGAACCCCGTGTTTTGCCGACAACATGGCCGACAGAGCGGCTCGGCGCGAGTCACGTGGTACTCAGGGTTCCAGGAGGCGGCCCGCCCTATGGGAGAATACATGGAGATCGACACAACACGGCTGATTAAAAAATGAACGTCGAGTTCACACTTTTCAAAACTACTCTGTCGTGAAGTTAGTAAAGCACTAAACACTTTATCAAAGTTTTAATAATATCGGATGCGTGTGCAAATTTTGAGAAGGCAATTTCCAAGGCAATGGCGTTTGAAGCAGACGATTTTTGCTCGCAGCGGAGATGGGCTTTTCGGGTTGGCCGGAGCGGGTCACGTGAATGGTGTGACGTCGCCGTGTCGTCTGCTGCATGATGCCGCTCAAGCAATTTTTAAAAAAAAGTCAGGTCCTTGCGGGGCACAAAACTTAGCGCAAATTATTCTAAAATGTTCCATTATTATGTCAAAAACAATTGCCACTCCGTACACCCACACAATACTGAAGAAACAGCGATTGTCTCACGTTCTCCATGCATTTTTGACCGCAGTTGGAACCTCCGGGCGTTCGCCGCTAGTCGCCGAGAGGCGGCGTTCTAGATTGCGCTACTCTGCTCCGAAGGAGCTATATAGTGCTCTAGGGCAGCCTTGCCTAAGCCCCCGCTCTATCTCTATAGGCTCCGATACATTTGTTTCCCATTTTATAAGCACCTTGTTGCTATTATATATATCTTTTAAAAGATTAGTTACTCCAGCTTCTACCCCTAATGTACCCAGTATGCCCCACAAATTCTCTTGAATTACACTGTCGTAGGCTCCTTTGATATCCAGAAACGCTAGCCATAGGGGCCTTTGTTCCTTTTCTGCTATTTCGATACACTGCGTTAAAGAGAACAGATTGTCCTCGAACCTCCTTTGCTTCCGGAACCCATTCTGCAGCTCCCCCAGCACCCCCTCGCTCTCCACCCATGCCTGCAGTCTATCCTTCATAATCTGCATCACCACTAGGCAAGGAGGTTAGAAGTACTCCATGCCACTAGGGCCACTGATCTCTATGAGGGCTGTGTTCCAAAATTTACTCGATCCGACTCCGGAGTAAAAGTTTCGTACCGCGGCGTTCCAAAACTTACTCGAGCTTACTCGATGACGTCAGAACTCGCGTTCCAGAAGCGGGTTGTTTACTCCGGAGAAACTACCCTCCTCGATCGGGGGGTAAAGTCGGATCAAACCGAGTAAATACGTCACGTGATCTGTTCGTCGTCTGCTTTCTGCGCCAACAGCCGTCAAAGCTCGCTTGCTCCGTTGGTTTTGGTGGCGGACGTTCGAAAGGACAAAGAATTAGGTGCAGCATGTGTGGTTATTGCGATTTGCTGTTGTCAAAGCAGGAATTGACTGCATTACATCCAGACCGTCCACCTTCCCCGGGAACGTGTACTTGTTATTATCTGAGTGCGAGTGTAAACAGGAGCTTCTCCGCATCCTCGTCCCCGGCGTTAGGGGACTGCCGTATTCTCACGTTCAAGGCCGAAAATGTTTGAACTCGGTATATGATAATGTAGTATTTTTGTTTCCTCCAGAGTGTGTGTAATGAGAGGATAACGTTTGTAAAGCAGTGAAGGTTTCGAAAATTTCACTGTAATCACATTCGCGTCAAAGCGAACGTGAGTTTCATATCATTCTGGAGAAAGCACCCTCGCGCTGTACCGCTACACCGTGTGGAATATATTTCTGCAAAACATAATCGGTGCAAATTACAATACGTGGAATATATGCGTTTAGGGCACCGTGACTAGAATTGCAGCGATCGCGCTGATTAATAAAAACATATTTTTTTATGTCTAGCTGTAAGGAGTAAGTGATTTTGATCTCAATATACAGCTCAAAACGAAGGTGAGTAAAAGGAGCTGGTGGATCCACCTCAAAAAACACCGCGTCTTAACATTACCGTTCTTCGGGTGCTTTCTCCATGATCAAAAGGATCGTCTGCTATTTTCTGCCATCGCTGTTGTGTTTTCTTTTTGCCGTCGCCCAAGACAAAGCCAATCCGCGTAGTATCCAGGTGATTATCCTGGCCGTTCCAAAAATCGAGTCGCGGATCGTTTACTCGCGATGTCACGTGGTATTACCCGCTGACGTAGGAGGCAGATTACTCGGGTAAGATTTGGAACATAGCCTAGGGGTGTCGCGAACTTTTGTCGAACCAGATTTTTTTGTCGAACTTTCGGGGTTCGACTGGGTCGAACCGGTTCGACGAACCTTCGAACTTTTAACCAAATTCGACCGGTTCAACTTAGTGGACAGTGTGGCCAGACCTTTATAAAAGCATGTCTAAGTTTGGAGAAATTTTTTTATGCGAAGGGTTATTTTTAAATTTATGAACAGTTGCAAATAAAGAAACCAATTCTAATCACTGAAGAAGTTATTAACTTAATTGTTTTGTGCTGTATTAACTGAAATAACCAATCAGCGCTGCACTTCATTCATCTCTTAGCCATTATCATCCAATCCGAAGCCAACTGGCCAGCCTGTCGCGCATGCGCACACGAGTCGAACCTCAATAGAAGGTTCGTCGAAATTTCCACTAAAAGTTCGAAAAAGTCGAACCTGGTCGAACTCGAACCGCGGCCGGTTCGCGACACCCCTAATCACCACCCTGTAAATCACTGACGTCACCGTTATAGGACGATAGTTGTTTATGTCCGCTTTGTCCCCCTTTCGTTTATATATCATGCTCATCCTGCTTAGTCTCCATTCATCGGGGGCTTTCCCATCCGTTACCATTTTATTCACTGCCTCTCTTAATGCTTGCTTAGATTTTGGGCCCAAGTTCTTGATTAACATAATGGGAATACCGTCAGGGCCTGTCGAGGTGCTACAGAAGAAGCAACTAGCGGCCCTAGCGGAGTGCAGCGCAAGTAAACCTTATCACTTGATTTAAAAGTTGCGGTTTATCATCCGTTATCGCTCCTTGCCAGTTTCGCTCCGTCACTGATCATCTCCGTGTTTGCTCGGCTCGACTGTAACCTCACTTCCTGCTCAGTCTCGGTTTTGTCCGTTCCACCGTCGCCACAAAGTGTTCTGCGCTGCCGGCCGTTGTGATATCGTCGACGGTACCTCGTTTGCGACGGTACCCCATCCCAGTGAAACTGCCGTGCACTCCGTGTCCCTGTGCCGCGGGCCGTCGCAGGGCTTTGTCCGCGCACCTGCATCCTCCAAGGTAATGCCGGACAGCTCGATCGCCTGGCGCGATGAACGCCCGAAAGAAAAAGTATGCATTCGTTGCGCAGGAAAAGTGCTCCCCGGGCCAGCTGGTTCAGTGAGGCAGCCCTCCTCCCGAGCAGTCTGGCGCCGGATAGAGTATGCGCAGAAGTGCGCATGCGCAGTGCGACTCCACAGAAAAGCCCCAAGCTGCTTGGGGGCCACCTAGCGTTGGGACCCCCTATTCTAAAACTTCTTGTTGTCACGATGGGGCGTAGATATGCAGAAGAGGAAGCCGCCATTTTTGGGTTAATTAGTGCAGTAGGGGCGCATTCGGTGGTCGTTAGGATTCGAAAATGCCGCTTCTCGAGCTTTAGGAAGCTCGAGAAGTGTCACGAAGCTAAGGTTATGTTGTCTTGCTCTGTTGCGGACTGAATATTTCCCCCAAAGCGTTTCCTGCGATTACAGACAAAAGTTGAGATAATTGGCAACAATGATTTTAGGCACCAAGATGGCTGAAGTGGCAGCGTGTGTAATTAGTGTCTCTGGGAAAAACCAGGCAGAAGCACGAATAGACCCGTTGCAAAACATGCAGCACCCTTTGTGGCAACGAAAGGGATTCTAGGAACTGGCTGTAGCGGACGACGGAGGCAACGAATTCAGGTGTGCGACGGACCTTTGGCCGAAATTCCCAAGCACCGAGGAGTATGCCTCGAGTGCAGTTGCATGTGCTACACGTGCTGGTGTCTGCAGCAGTAACTGTTCCAAGGCAAAAACCTAAGACACACCACGTGCATTCATCAACGCCTCACTCCCATTATTTAATTGTTTTTAACGCCAATAGTGAGAGCGCATGTACTCTCATTCCCAGCGTTCTCCTTGGTGCCTGGGTGGTTGGGCAAAAGGCATACTGCACTCTCAAGGAGGAGCATACGGGGCTTTACCATAATTCATTCCTTTTCAGACTTTTTGCAAATGGTCCATTGGAGGTTCTTGTGTTTATATTTTGCCTGTCCCTCCCGACGCTCCAGGGTCGCCCCGAAGTGCTGCAGAAAACCAACTGACGAGATGAACGTACAAGGTGTCCTCGTAATAAATTTAGCGTTTTTTCCGCTGCAAAAATAAACTATGCGCCTCGCGCTCGGTGTCTGGCCAAATGTAGTGCTAGCGGGCCAGACCAGATGCCAGAGTTTCAGAGCTTGTCTTTAGCTAATTTAAAAGATTCACCGTAATACCCCCAGAGGTGCCTCACCCCTGAAAGAAGACCCCCTCCGCCCCCTATTTTTGCTATGATTTACTGTTATTTTAAAGACAGAAATATAACACACTTTTAGTAATTGCAGGGCCCAATGGTGACCTTGGCAGAAATGCTACGACTCGGCAACAGCGGGAGATAAAAAGGAGAGTCGTCTTGGGTTCATAGATCACACACCGAAAGTTAGCCTACCACTTAGTTTCACCCGATTTACTTTCTGTTTTAGGTGGGCCAGCTCAAAATATGACGGTAAGCGATTTTCAGAAATTTTCAAAAATGGCGACCGACGTGCTTACGAGTACATAGAAATGAATGGCGTCTGCTGCCAGGAACGGGCCTCAAGTTTCCTTTGGAACTTTCGGAAAATCACTTGTATTGAATAAGATAACAGTTACTAGTTCTGGCATTTGGTCCAGGCAGCGAGCACTACATTTGGGCAAAAACTGAGCCCTCTGCGACGCAGTTTATTTTTGCAATAAAACAAACATGTAAGTATATGTATATTTTTTTTTTTATGTGGGGGTTGAGGAACACTATATGTGTGCATAATTATTGTGCCACTTCATTGTGTTCCGCTTATTGTATTGCGAGACAAACTTGGGGGTTGGGGTCGCTAGCCTTCTGCGGTGACCCGATTCTCTTGAAGAGTTAAATGAAGTGTATTAGAATCAATAGACTCGACGATACTAAAGTTTAGAACCTCGACTGGCGGAGATTCAGGGATTAAAATCCGATATTTTGTACCTGTTGGGCTGATATTTGGCTGAGCATGGCAAATCAAACAACTGCTGTCCTCTCCTTCTCAAAAAATATTGCCATTCGGTATGCTAGATGATGCCATCTATTCTCGTCGTATGACTGGATGTCTACTCTGTATCTATCGCTGTCGTCCTAAGGGCCAGAAAAGTTTTATTTTTTTATTTTTGTGGATTAGCTTGCTGCTTTGAATCATATTTTTTTAGTCTGTTTCACACTATGGACTTGCTTTAGGTACATATAATATAGCCTGGTTGCAACAGATCTGGTTACACCAGACATTTTGATGGACCATGCCAATTCGGGAAGTTGGTTGGTCTTCCTATCTATGCCATTGAGCTAACTTTGGTTATTACAGATTCTGTTATAACATACATTCAAATATGATGGACTATATTAGGGGATTTGTAAGTACTTCACGATTCCATCTTAGCAGACTCTTGGGCAGTGGTCATTATTTCAGACTCGCGTGACTGGTTTGATAACGGTGGCATCCATTGTGCGAACTACTATCGTTGTGCCCAGTGACTCGTGAACCCCATGTGGCCCGAAGTGCGCAGGAATGACGATCATGAGCACGGTTCAATAAAAAATCGTTAGTTTAGAAGTTTCAATGAACCAGTTCTTTTCTAATATCCATTCACATTTCGACTGTCTTGCTGGTTAGAAGAGACTCCAGTCATAACCATCATCAAAGTCTGTAGTAAGAGTAGCTGTGTTTTGCATACTCCTTTTTGCAACAGACCTTCATGACTATCAAATAAGGCCTGTCATAATGATTCTATACTGTACTTCCGAATTCGCATCTGTTATGGTTTCATACTTACTTCCCCCGTACATGGCTCGCATTGACGGCCGGGCCAGAGGGCCTTGCAGCCTTGATGCTAGCCTTGACGACATAGCACAAAAGAGGTGACATCGAGTGTCGTCTGGCAGCTGTGGGTGCATCTTAGCAAAACTTGGCTATCAAACAGTCTGCAGGTTGACCACCCCCCCCTCAAAAAAAAAAAAAAATTGCTGTTTCTTTTTTTTTTGTTGCAAAAATAAACTATGCATCGGAGAACGGTCATTTTCTGCCCAAATGCAGCGCAAGTGGTCCAAAGCAGATGCGAGTTTCAGAACTGATATGTCATTCAAAAGTTATTTTCTGAAAATTTCAAGGAGAAAATAGATCTCATTTTCGCCCGATTTTCAGTAATGGGCACCATTCAGCTCCGTGTATCTGAGAGCTCCATCAACCACCATTTTCCCATTTAAAATTTAAAAAAAGATTGCTTGGAGCTTTTGAATAAGATGACGGTTGGTTTCGAAACCTTGGCATCTGGAATGAGCTTTTGGCAATGCACATACTAGTTCATTTTGCAGCGAAACAAAAACCCGTAAATGTTTTTGGGAGAACCCTGTAGAGGTAGTAGGAAGAAGAGGTGGCATACTGACCCAAGCCAGCCAAACGAGAACATTCCAAGTGCAGCTGGAAGGTCGTGGTCGGTGGAAACGTCCCTCAGGGTACCCAAGATGTGCCCAAGGGAGTCCTTTCTGTCCAGCAGCGTCTTTTGGTTTTGTTTGTTTTTGGTTGTTGTTGGGGGCATCTTCCCAAACCAGAAGTCTCCCCCAACTTCACCTCTGGTGGCATCATGTTGCCTCCAGAAGCTTCCTACCTCCATGCTGTACATACTCTGGAAGCAAAAGATGGTGGCACCTACAGGGTGAAACAAGGAGACGCCAGGCTCTTTAAATCAACTGGAAAATTCGGTTTCTTAACCTATCGCCCTACGACTTTGTGCAGCGTTGCCCACAGATGGTGCATTTTTTTTGTAAAATTTGCAAAGAGTGAACTTACCTGAGGAAAAAGTAAAGAAAGAAACAGGCTTAGCTCCTATGGAAACGCAGCGACGCCACCGGTCTGCAAACAACATGGCGCCGTTTCGCACGGGAGACGAGATGGCACAAACGAGCAGACGACGCCAACGAACGAGCAGACGACGCCAAGAGCCGGCCCTTCTGCAAACAAGGAACTGCAGTTCCTTGCTGTTACCGCGCCTGTCTTTTTTGTTTCTGCGACTGTCGCCGCCTGCGGAACGCGCGCCGCTTTTGAATCGAAAAGATTGTCTGCTAAAAAGGCCTGCTCTCGGCGCCGTATGCTCGTTCGTTGGCAGAATTTGTTGCGCCATCTCTTGTCTCCCGTGCGAACCGGCTCCGTGTTGTTTACAGACCGGTGGCGTCGCTGCGTTTCCATAGGACCTAAGCCTTTTTCTTTCTTTACTTTTTCCTCAAATAAGTTTGCTCTTCGCAAATTTTACAAAAAAAATGCACCATCTGTGGGCAACGCTGCACAAAGTCTTAGCACGATAGGTTAAGAAACCGAATTTTCCAGTCGATTTAAAGAGCCTGGCGTCTCCTTGTTTCACCCTGTAGAGCCGCTATGAGAGCTACGCCTAGAGTGTTGGCAGTCCGTTCACCGGTTTTCTCATGGGTGCCGCCATTTGGGTGCGTAGTGCAAAGTGGAAACAATGGACGGTAGTTGCAATTCTAAATTCCTGCATACTTTAGATATGGTCTTGGGAAGCTCGGGTGAAAGCGTTCCGCCCTGTCACGGACTGTTTTGGCATTTCCAGATGACGGAAAAGTGTTTTTTCCGCGATTCCAGACAGAACTTGGGATGACTGGCAACCATGATTTTCAGCACCATGATGGCCGTAGAGTGGTTACTCTCGAGCGTAGCTGACTTAGCGGCTCCGGCGGTGCCCAGAGGCTGTGCTTGGAAGACGAAGCGCAGTTCCAAAAATATTTTCGTCACTTTTGTGGGCAATTGTTTCAGATCGAAACTGAGGTCCTTGGGGTACAGCGCTGCAGCCTCCAGCCTGATCCACGTCCGAACCCACGGTCCAACCGATCTGTTGGCAGACGCACACGGTAACGACCATCTTTTGAACGTTCAAGTATGATGCCTGCAACGCATGTCTGACTGGCGCGTCTATTCCGCTCATGCACCCAAAGTGGTCCCCAAGTGGCAGCGACGTCGGAACGGCTAGAGGGTCGCGGCCTCAAGTGAAAGTGCGTTCAACTTTTCGGTCGGGGTAACATGCTTATGGGCACCATTAAATTGCAGAATTTTGCTGCAGCTCTATGGGGCTACGGGTTGTTTTTCGGCGTAACTCCGGTAATAAACAGGCCTGGAGATGCTAGAGTATTTTAAGCATAGAATAAAATACCGCTTTTCTTTAGGCACAATTTTCGTTCCGATAGGAGAAGTATTTTTTAAACGCAAAAAACAATGTCATTCGTCGTCTCTAATGCCGCCATTAAATTGCAAACACTCTCCGTGGTTTGAGTTGAATACACTCTTAACTTGAGGCTCTTGATCGTTTTGTCGGATGTCGCAGTCCTGGTGGTTGAATGTAGAAGTTCTGATAAAAAGCCCGGAGGAATGCGAGGGTGGCCATTGTCGCGGCGTCCCAACCTCCGGCTGCCAAAGCTTTGGTGGACTCGGGCCAGAGGGCAATCTGTGGCAGGACGGGCGTCTGCTGCATTCGCCACCGCCGCTGCGACATTGCCAGGACCGCGGCCAGCAATGGGATGCTTTACGACGTCGTTGGGCGAAAATGGAGGGACCACTTTTTGGGACGCGGTTAACACGCCATTCGGACACGCATTTCAGTCAGTGTAGTTAAAGGGGTACTCCGCCGATTTCTTCATGGTCCCCAATTTGCTTGAAATTTTGCTAAACTCGCCAAAACATCGCCAAAATAGTATCCCAAATATTAGGTCAAAATAATTCTTTTCACGAAGTTATTGAATTTACAATTTTGGTCCTCACCGTGTTTTTCAAACTGAAAGTCTCTACTGGCAACAACGAAAAAGTGACGTCAGTGGAAGTGCAGGGGTTCACTCTTTGGACTGTAGAATTTGTTCCCAACTGATTCGAAGCAGTTTCATGGTGTCAAATGAATGCCTTGGAAGCTCGCTCCAGTCCCCGCGCTCCAGCACGGAACAAATGATTGGCATATTCTATTTTTTAGACTGCTCGCCCAACTGGCAAGCTTGCCTTCCACTGACGTCACGGCACTGAAAAGGGTGGGTATATTTGAATGTTGGTTTTTGCATCATTTTCATTTGACGATTTCGCAATAACTATTATGAATTTCACGATACTAAATAGCATACCAGAAAGGGTAAAGGCCGGGAAGTCAATAAATATAGTTAGTTTAGGTAGCTCAAAAATCGCCGGAGTACCCCTTTAAAGGGGTAGTGAAACGAAATTTTAGCGCCGATTTTGTTGCATAAATATGGGCTAGGGACAGGCACCACCTCGGAAATATAAATATTGCGCTGTAAAACACAGGAGAACTAATTTTAAACATAATTAAACGATTTCAAATTCTCATCTGGTGGATGGGGGGAAGTTCTCGTGACATCACTTGTGCCAAAATAGCAGCGCCGTTCTGCGACAATACGGCGTGCCGGCAGAATTCGCCTAGGCCTGAACGCGTTCGCAAAGCCTTGGCGGAGAAAGCCAAAGCGTAGTTGGCCACAGTGAGCTCGTTCTCGTTGCGGCTCTTTGCACGACACGGCCCGAGCATGCTTCTGGCACGGCCGGTATTAGTTGCTGCGAATCGCGAGCTGCAAGCCGACGTTAAAAAGGATATGTTTGAACTACGAGGGTGTCAGCAAGAGCCACGCAAATGCCAAATACCTGTTCACACTCGGAGCGGACACGCGCGTTTGATCGAAGTGCTGGATTCGCTCTGTTAGACCGCGTTTCGGTAAGCGCTTCTGGACCGATCTTTTACGATTGCAACTCGATACTGACATGACACTCGGCAAAGAAAGGTTAGACCGACATCGCGTAGCTCCCACGAACTGCTATAGCTCGACACTGACGTAGCGTCGAGTCAGAATAAAAATGGCATACTAATAACAGAGTGTACATACCGAGTTGCCAAGGTAATCCGTATGGCGTTTATTTGAGCTCTCTATCACACAAAACAAGGAGATAGAATCAATGAGAGTCCCTTTTCGACGACAGCGTTCGTCACCGCTGTCTCGGAAAACAAGGAGATCGAGATGACAAGGGGAAAATATTGACCTCTGAAATTTAGTTCAGGGATCAAACTACTCATCCGGATAAGGGTCCACAAGGGTCGCGCGGGCATATTCCATTCAGCAGGCCAGCCGGTCATGGACAGACGGTCTTGGCCAAGGACCGCCGGAGCAACGGTGCGCCGAGTCGATGTTGCTGCTAGGCTTACTATATTCTGCCGAGCTCGCTCGGTCGGCAGAATCGTGGCTGTTGTAGCTCTTCTCGTGTGTTTGTGGATCCTGCGTTCTTGATCATGGTCTGTTTTAAGTACTCCTTCTTTTTTTCTTGCTGGTTGAAGTCGGGTCGCACGAGAAGAGCACGAAGAAAAATAAATGTCCGTTGGTGGCCGATACCAAGTAACTGAGCGACGCTGTCGGCCTTGTTGATTTGATCGTAAAAAGTGCGTAAGACAGCTTCGGAGCTGTCGTAGGATTCTGTCGTAACCTGCGCAAAGGTTACGACCATTTCGTTTTGAGAGCACGGGTTTTCTCTCAAATTTGTCGTACGCACTTTTTTCGTCGTGAATTCGCTTTGAGAATCCGGCCTCAGAGCTGGTTTTGTCAGTGCTGCCGTGGTTGCCGACTTGCCGTGGTCCCGTGGTGCAGCGTGCGTGCAGCCCTTGCACATCTCAAACGACCACGTTGTCACAGGTCGTAAATCGTCGACGCGCCACCAAGTGGCAACGCTCGTAACCACAACATTCACGCCGTAGCCTTTCCCGACCGGCACAAGTGACGTCACGAATGCGCCCAATATCCCAAGACGCATCGCGCTCTCCGATGGCCGATTTTTGAGCGCGCGCCCAATCGGGCCCATCAGGGTGAAAAATATAGCCATCCGTTCAAAATACAAACGCGCGATTATGATTTATGAATATCATTGATCATATTGAACCTATTTCTGACCATAATAGGTGTATTTCAAGTTTCGCTTCAGTATCCCTTTAAAGGGATACTTCAACGAAATTTGAAATATTCCCGTCGTTCAAAAATAGGTTGAATATGATCCACAATATCCGTAAAGGACAATCATACGTTTGTATTTTGAGCCTGGTGGCTGTATTTTTTGTTATAAACGGCCCACTCTGGCAAGCGCTCGGAGAAGGCCCAGCGGAGACCACGTGACATCCAACGCAATCGTGACGTAGGTCGTCTCAAGACGAGCAAAGCTACGGCGAGGCGGACGTCGAGAGGATGGCCTAGTCGTTCCAGCCACCGAAGCGGCTGCTTTTGTACGAATTTTGAGTGACGGGTTAATCTTCTATAATCTTGTAGGGGGACAATAGCGACTTCTGCGACACACAAAAGGCATTCTCGGGAAGAGGGGAGTTCCTCCTGCCCCTCTTTTCTCGTCGTGGCCGGAGGCGAGACAACCTCCGTCACTAGCTGTCAAGGTTCCTAGACGGGCATTCAGTGATGTGATTGCTGCGCCAATTGCGCCAAACTGCGCCAAGGAGCTAACCCTTCTACATCCTGCTACATTTTGCCAAAATATGGGTAATCTGCGCCAAGCTTGCGCCAAAGAACCATTTTGGTCGCCTTTAAAAACCGAAACTAAACTGAGTACTGTAATTGAGCTTGCGTGAGCTAGGTAGCGCAAGCGGCCGCCCGACACAACGTACACTGCATCAATCGTGTATCCGTTCTTGCATGGCTTTTCCCGCTGTCTCGCGTTTCGCACTTTCGCGTTTCGTGTCAAAAATCTCGTTTCGCGTCCTTTTAAAAAAAATTTTCAACGATATACGAAGAAGTGTGCGGATGCTCCGACGTTAGTGTGCCGGATGCCGGCCATGCCGTCATGCTGTGAAACAAAACCACGTTTTTGCGCGGCGAGAGTTACTTTGTGACCTGAAGCGCTAGCGCTGCCACAGTCGCCTCGGTCGCGCGACGTCGTGTGTTGCCGTCCCCACATCTTTGCAGATATGGCGCTTTCTAAACTGAAACGCATCGACATTCCTGTTGTTGTTTAAATCATACGCTGCTAGAAAAATCCCTTTTTAACTCAAAGACTGCTTGGCTTAGCATTGGTTATTTAGGTTTCTCTCGGTTAGCTTTCTTTCGAGAGGGACCCCGGTAAGGGAAAAATCTGCCGTGACAGAAAGTTGGTGAAGTGAGCTAAAGCAAAGAAGACAGGGACAATGTCTGCACGCTGAGCCCGCACAGCGCGCTTATTTGTTAAGAGTTCAGTCGTCGCACAAAGCGTTCCAAGAACGTTTTGACCCTGGCTCGCGATGTCATACACCAATACGCCCAGGTTCTTTTTTTCTGTGTGTTTAGCCTGTACCTCGCCTGCTGGTCTGGCAAGCACGCGCCGCTGGACTGTTTATAGCCATGTGCTGGACAGTTACATTCTGCATACTATTTTGGGAACCAGTTGGTGACGGAGCGGAGTGGCATGGCTTCGGTTTCGATTGAGCAGCCGTTGTCTCCGCGCGCGCGACGAAGCACGTGCAACCGCAAGCCTACCGAAGTTTCCCTCACATGCATCTGAACATGATCGCACGACAGAGGCACCAGCCGGGACGCTTGCAATCCATTGTTTTACGTTTCCTTACTTTTTACAAAAATCTGGCACGTCGGGAGCTAGTAAAACGGTGGCAAATGTTTTGTTCGGAATTGCTCGCCAACGCTTACAGCACTGTATACTTGCGGGATGTCTCAGCAGTAAAAACACAAGAGCGAGTTCCGTCACAACACGCCACAACACAACACAACACAAAGTGCCCCTCATTTGTCCAGCACTTAAAACAAATATTTATTTTTCTAAGAATATCTGCTTCAAAAGCCACTTTTCTGCGCCGAAACACCGTTTTGGCTGCTCCAAAAGCCGCTTT